CTGTTTGATGAAACTTTAATAAATAATAATGTTAATTCTTACAGAAATTTTGTATTATTCATAGGTATGTCTACATTTATTTAATGCTTGTAGTAGATCACCTTTTCAATTGTCAAAAAACTTCAACGTAAATATTGTGGGGATTTTTTTTAATTGCCATGGTAACTAGTCAAAATTAAGGCATTTTATTAGTTGAAAAGTAGAGGTGTGAAATTTTCATGGAAATTCCTAAAAAAAAACTTATTGAATTTGAAGTAACATTCACAAAAACCAATACAAATTACAATTACAGATCCGTACTTAAGAAAATTTAAATGATTCATATTCATTTAATAAAATTAATCATTAGTTATTTAATTTTTACATTTTACAAAAAAAAAATATACTGAGTGATTCAATAGTTGTGGAGCATGGAAGAAATGGGCCAAATTCAAAAAAACACCTTGTAACTCGGTTATAAAGGTCGTAAGACCAACTATATGGGTTTTTTTGTGAAACCCTTGGTGACTTCTATTCAGTGAGCACCAAAAGTCTTACCCCCCCTATCTAACTCGTTACTGGAGTCTTGTTAGGAAAATCGCCGAGACACGTCGATTTTTGATTTCTACAATGTACATTTTTGTATGAATAGTTTAACCTTAATTTCATCCCTTACTGGAGGGCAGCAACCCTTTCGAAAAATTTAAATGGAATGAGGTGGTGAGTGATAGCTCATTTGAAAGAGGGTTTTATTCTCTATTCAACCGTGTAAAAAAATTTGAAATTTGCTTTATTAATTCTCGACTAATTGTTGTTTCAGAATAACGGAAATTAACGTAGCGCACTCATCCTTAGAATTAAAATTCGGCCCTGCATGATTTCGGTTTTGGTTCAGATGTGAAGTAAGACTTTTTGCCATTAGAAGGTCACTGTTAGTCTAGTTGCTCTCCTATTTTGTGAGGTTCTGTTATTTTTAAACATTAATAAATCAACACGTAATGACGCAAATTTTAAAATTTTTTGCACGGTTGAATAGAGAATAAAACCCCCTTTCAAATGAGCTATCACTCGCCACCCCATGCCATTTAAATTTTTCGAAAGGGTTGGTACCCTCCAGTAAGGGATGAAATTAAGGGTTAACTAATCATGCAAAAATGTACATTGTAGAAATCAAAAATCGACCTGTCTCGGCGATTTTCCTAACAAGACCCCAGTAACGAGTTAGTTAGAGGGGGTAAGACTTATGATGCTCACTGTATAGTGTATATGTAGACAGAAAATTTAGAGAAACTGGGCATGTTAAATACATTTTACATGCAGGGCGTTCCAAAATAAATAAAAACGTGAAACTTGATATTTTGTTAGTAGTTAACAAAAATCCTCAGTACTTCATGAACTAAATTTTTCTTCGCCCTATATGCAAATAATTTAAATAAAAATTTACATCGCTAAATAGAGGATCAAAATATATTTCAAATATAGCTATTATCTTTTAAAAAATTCTACGATTACGTCATCACTCCAACCCCGGTGACGTAATCGATTTCAAATGTAGATTGAGATATCGGTAATTAAAAACAAAAATCGATCTGTTGCAGGATTTTTTAAAAATTCGGTAGTTTTCGAAAAATTGAGCTGGTTTCATAATTTTACCGCTCACTGTACATATACAGAGATATTCTGCCCTTAATATTATTATTTAATTTTTCTCAATTCTCAGTGTGTTTTATTATTTTTATAAAAGACGAACGAATTTTAAATTTTTTCCGGTTTCTTTTTACAATTTGGAAATTTAATTAAATTTTTTTATACTTCTTAATATCTAGAGTAGTTTAAAGGACCTATTAATAAAATGTTGCACTAAAACGATATTCTGGCTTTCATAAATCTGTAGTCGTTTTAATTTTAGATTGGTACAAACAAGAAAATATTCTTAAAATAAATACATCGAAATCGACTCGCAAATCGTGCTTTAATAAACATTAACATAAGTTGGTACACGGTTTTTTCGAAAGCACTTAGGCTTGAAAAGCATCTGCATCTATTAAGAGTGTTAAAAAAAAACTAATGATCCTCGAATCTAGGATGTTTGCCGAGAGGTTTGCACAATTAGTTGAAATTTTATAATGAGTCAGATACCGTGTTTTTTACAAACAATATTAAAATTCGGAACGAGTAACGTCTGGAATAATATATATTTTCAATTTTAATATGCTAATGTTTTTAAATAGCATAAATATTTCATTTGAAATTGCATAATTATTATTTCATAGAAATTGTTGAAACATTTAACATATTAAAACATGAAGCAACAATATTTAAGTTTATCAGGCTCAAAAAAATCTTAAAAAACCAACCCTGAAGCACATCTGAATCTCTTGAGGTCATTTAAATCTAATCTTTATTTTTATGGGATAATTTTTGTTATATTGAGATGAGTTTACCTGATAAATTTAATTTTTTTTATATCGAACGGTTGTTGAGTTTTAATCAAAAACAAATTCAAGGGAAATTCATAAAATACCCTATATATAGATAATGAGTTGTGATATACCCATTAATAATGGCAAAATTTCGAATCATCCAAGTGTCCACACCTACAGTACAGTCTGTTCGCTATACTTACGCGGGTTTCGGATTAACAAAATTATGCAAATTAGTCATTGACAACCAGTTCCGATAAGCCTTTTCCCAAGAAATTAGGTAAAATTGCCCTAATGGTCAGATTTAAATTAAAATAACATTAGGGTAGGTACTAAATTTGTTACAAATATTGCAGTTGAATTGATTCTTTGCAAGTGTTGACATTGTATGTATATTGTAAATTTAGTGGAAATTTTAAAAATGCCTAGACTTGTGTTAGATGTAGATAGTCTAATTTGTAGTGTACATAAGTATTTTACGAATGAAAAAGAAAATGGTGATCCTTTAAAATCGGTAATGTCTGTACAACAACACGTATGCGATGCTCTAGGAATTAGTGAAACCAAATTAAGAAGAGTATTACAAAATCACAATAGTAAACTGCCGAAAGAAGATCACCGCAAAACTCGCCCATCATTGAAAACGAAAGATATTGCAGATGGAAAGAAATTTGAAATTCGTGATACCATTTAATGACTGAGGGCCAACAAGGAACATGTGGCCTTAAATACAATTCTCTCGGAATTAATAGATAGAAAATTTGACGACATTGGCAGAACAAGTCTATGGCAAGTGATACATAACTTGGGTTTCAAATTTCAAAAGGAGGATAACAGAAAGGCCCTTTGTGAAAGAAGTTCTATCGTGCACAAGATAATTAACTTTCCAAAAAAATATTGTAAATTTAAAGAAGAAGGGGCGAATTTTATATATTTAGACGAAACATGGATATTTTCTAGGGGTGCAACCAAGAGATTATAGCAAGATGCTAACGTAAAATCCATCAAACATACCGATGGAGAAGGGAAGTGACACATCATTTTACATGCAGGAGGGAAATCGGGTTTTATAGAAGGTGCTGATTTAATGTTTTCATCTAAATCAAAATCCAGTGACTATCACGATAATATGAACACAGAAATGTTTGTAAAATGGTTGCATGAAAAACTTCTCCCAGGTTTAAGTGAGCCCAGCGTAATTATTTTAAACAATGGACGTTACCATTCTGAAGTATTAAACAAAAGTCCAACGAATTCTTGGACTGTTGATAAAATTAAAGAATGTTTGACAAAGGAACGGAACATAATGGAGCATACACCATTTCCACAATATATATTAAAATCAGAATGATTACGCTTGGCAAATATACACGCAAAACCAAAAACCTTTGTTGTGGATCAGATTATTGAAAGTTACGGTCATCAAGTTTTACGTCTGCCACCGTATCATTGACAGTTTAATCCCATCGAATATATATGGGGAATAGCAAAACAATATTATGACAACCATATTGGGCCTAATGGTTATACTGATGAAGCAGTTCGGGTAATTTGGTGAAAAGCACTTTCAATTGCAACTCCAGAAGTGTGGCGGAACTGTATATCCAAGTGCGAGAAACTAATAGAAGATTGGTGGACTCGTGAAAATAAAATAAACGAAATAAGTCCAATCATAATAACAATTAATGGCGATGACAGTGATAATGATGACGATTATGATATTTTGGATGATAATAACTGATTTTAATTTTTGTTGGCATGTTCAATTTTTTTATTTTTTATTTGAAATTCTCTACATGGAACAAATTTTTATGTTAGAAAATATTTTATTTGAGTTAAATAACCCTCTTATTATACATAGACCATATTTTCTGTGTGAAGTGTAATATAAAATTATTATTAGGTTTACAATAGCCACATTAGACTCCATTAATGAAGAAGTTTAATTCTGCTCTCAATTATACAAAAGATTCTCCATTATTATTTAATTAAAAAGTTGTACATTATTTTTCATTTTATTTAACCAGTTGATATTTCCCCAAAGAACAGGTCAAACTTTCGGGTATTTACTTGGAAATACTCATAAAATTTTTAATCCGAAATCCGCGTAAGTATAGCGAACAGACTGTACAGTATGTACATTACATTCTGAAACATCCGGTATAGTTTTTATCAAAAACGAAACTAATTTCTCTAGAGATGCCATGACTAATGTCTATAACAATTACATATTGGTAGATAGATGAAGATCTACATGCTATAAATTAAAGTCACCATCAACATCAATTTTCACTTAATGTTTGGGAAATATTTGTAAAAGATAAACTTTTCTATTACCTTAGACATTATGAAACTGGTAACGAAAAATTCAATAGGTCACCAGTTACGAAAAGAAAAGAAAAATAAAAATTTTCTAGTATTAAATTCAATTTGAAACTTTATATTGTAAGAATAAAGGTTAGCTTTATAAACATAGAGTTTGTTAATCAACTTAAAATCTAGTAATAATTCTGTTTCGGTTCCTATTTTCCATCCTAAATTTGCATAAAATAATCGAAAAAAACTGGTGAACTATTTAAAATATTTGTTTTGTTTCAGATTGCTGTCATGGCGATGAATATGTCGAAATTTAGAATGGAGCAGGAATTGTGGACGGCAAAAGTCGATATGCCACCATGGCAGTGCTAATGCGTCGTCTATTCGTAGACGCTCAGGTAATTTAGGTAACTACACACACATTTATACTTACATACCTACATACCTTCAAATTTTTCACTCGCACTATTTACGATACACAAACTAACGGTATGTTCCTGCGCATGCAGCTGACTGACGGTGACGTCACGTGGGACATAGAATTATAAGCATTAAATTCGATATTTTGCCCATTTTAGATTTTATACAGTTACTTAAGCTTTATTGGTTATTTCGTAATATATTCGTTTACAAATATGAAGGTTTAAGGTAAATAATATTAATAAAAATATTAATTTTTCTCATAAATTATAGGTATTTTGTGACAAAATCCATAACCTGGCCATAAGTAAAATATATAGACTAAAAATACAAGTTTGACTCAAATTTGTACTTTCTGGGCGTAGTAGTTTTCTTGCAATCTCTTTTCTTATTATGTGAAATAAAAATAAGTATGCAGAAACAAATTATTTATTTACAAAAAGTAAGTAAACAAAAACATTACTTTTTATTTGGTAAATTTAAACATTTTTTGTCAAGTTTACTTTGAAAATACTTAAACCAATTTTCCTGTTAATTTATCTTATTCAGGACTACTGTTTTAATTTTAAATTTTAATTCTTTGTATATAATGCGAATTCTATAAATCCAGCTGGAAAGCTTTCATGTGTTGGTTTAAAGAAAGGAAATATGTTTAAACAGTAAAAGAAAGTAAAGAATGTGTATCTGCTACAAACAACCTAAGAATTTGACATGAATATTAGGTTTTTAATTTGTCTATCTGCTTAAATAGCGCAGGCACATTTTTATATGCATGGCGACAGTCAGGGCAAAGATATATGAAAATTCTGATATTCCCAGACCTGTACAAACATCAGTAACATGCAGTATATAATGACAACTGTCCCAAAATACTCATTTATCATTCTTAATAGGGTCAAGTGATACATTTATTAGTCATAATTACCTGGACTACAACAGTAATCAGTAGACTTGTTTTATCTGGAGATAAGCTTTTATGATTTTTTTTTAATATATTAACAAAGTTCCAATGGCAATTTTGAATTTTAAATCACAATTGTACAATAATTAAAGCGAATTTGGTCAAGTTTTTTAGCTGTTATGGTAGTAAACTAAATTATCTACTCACAGTTGAAGTAATAAAATTTTTACACCGCTTTTACCACTATAAAAAGATCGTTTTCTGGAGACCCTAAATACTTGCGTCTGTATCAAACTAATCGCAATTACCGAGCGATTTGGCCAGTGGCGTAGCCAGCCATTTTTCATGGGAGAGGTTTTTAGGAACTATGAGGGGGAATTCCATCAGGAAAGTCAATAAAACAAACAGCCAATAGCAATTAGGATTAGGAGGAGGGTTCTAACCTCCAAAACTTCCCCGTGGCTATGCCACTGGATATGGCTCTACGATAAAGCATCTGCCTCGCATTTAGAAGGTCGTGGGATCGAGTTCTACTGCCGTCTGGTATGCGATGAGTTTTTCTCATAGCAATAGGCAAATGCTAGGTCAGTAACATCCTCTTAGATACCTATCTAATTGGTTTAATTGGTAAAAGCGTAGATGGCTATACTCGGATGATAATTTTTCAATTTTTCTTCGGTTTGAGGATGTCTTCCCAAGGGGAATTGGGAATTATATTATCACATTTCCAAAGATTGCTTCAATGATAATAGTATTTTTTTTATTCTAGGCAAAGCTTCGCAGAATGGTAGAAGAACATTCCACCGATTTAACATGTCGGATAGAATCCGATTACCCCAATTCTAGTCCAATAGCTGTCCCTAGTCCCGCTTGCACTATCCACGAAGCAAAAGTAGTTGAAACTCCTCCTGCGACATCCACAGCGTGTCAGATCGAAGTGAACCTTCAGCAACCAACGCTTGGCGATGAAAAAGTAATCATTGATTGTGATGTAGATATTAAGATTAATGATAATAAGAAAAACAATAAAATAAATTCTATAGAGGCTAGGAGAAGCAAATCTTTATCCATAGAAATAGGTGAAGATTCGAATAAAAAGGATATCAAAAAGTGTAAATCAAATCCAGTTAAAAGTGAAGAATCAAATACTACCGATAACGAAAAGGCTGTTGAAGATAGTAAGGAAATTGAGATGACGGTTGAGGAAAACGTTAATGTTTTCAAAGGCAGCAGATCATCTCTAGAGACTAGGTCTGATTCACCTAAACCGGGATGTAGCAGTCAACCGGATATTGGTTAGTATTCATATTATTAGTTTTATTTTAGTCACACTGTATACCAGTTTCAAACAAGCAAAACAGACGAAAACCAAACCAAAACAATTAACCTCTTTTTTGTCTTTTACTAGATTCATCCTCGCCCCGGTCCCCGAGGAGTTCCGACGGCAACCGAGACGACCTTTCCGCGCTGTTACCTTCGCCTTCGAATTACTCCAAATCTTCGGCGACGATCCGAAGAGTTCGGCAGGAAAACGAGCGTCTCCAAGCGGAAGTGACGAGATTGAAGCGACTCGTCGTGTCTGGAGCGACGTCCGCTCTCGCTGAACGGAAGAATTTATCGGAAAATGTCGATCCCGACTCCGCAACACACGCTTTGGAATTGGAATTACAGCTGGCTAGGGAGGCGTTATCAAGTAAGATTGTTGTATAACGACATCAGATAATGTATAGTTCGGTTTTACTCGAATATAATGTATAGGTAGAGTTATAACATGACCTAGTTCATGTAGTATCGGGAATATAAAGGGTTCTTATTATCTGCATCAATATACAGAGTGGAAAGTCTAATTGGAACAAAATCTGTAACTTAATAAATAAAAGTTTGCAGAAAAATTCTTAAAACACGTCAATTTTTCTTTTAAATGGGGCTTCCTACAAAGAGGTTTGTTTATTTTGAGCGAACAATACTCGTTAAATAAATAATTATACAAAACCCTCTAAATATTTCACTCTCTTGTATATCCATGAAACTGTTACCAAACCAGAAACATGTTTATATAATTTCAATATATATTTATTTATTTAGTACACCACTCAACAGTTACTCGTAAAAAACCAATTACAGAGTGGGATGAACATAAATTAAAAACAAATACAATATACTAATGATATACATCACAAATGAGTTAAGAACATCAGATATGACTGAACATGAAACAAATAAGAAGTACAATAAAGCCTATTTTTAAGGAAAACTGAAGGTAAAATATTCAGTTATATTTAAGTTCTTAAAGGAGCATAAAACAAATATAAAAAAAATTAAAAAAATTACTTTAAAATAAAATAAATACACACAAAAGATATATTATCAACTTACCAAGCAGGATAAACACCTACTCAGTTTCTATGGTAAAAATATCTATTTTCTTACAACTAAAAATATCCGAACTGTCTTGAAGGCGATGATAATTATTGATCATTTAAAAAATTGGAGAACCGTTCAAAATATTTGTATTTGCAGCTGGCAAGTAAAAGCTTAAGTATATTCTAAGGCCAGCAAAAATGTTTAAATCATCAGCATACATTAAGTATTTTACTTCTGTGCTTTTGCTAATATATTTGCCAATATATTGAACCTAGGACCCGAATAGAACAACATGAATGGATAAATCTTTTTAATACTTTGCCAAATCCTTTTATAATAGCAAGTGATTTTAATGCACATCATATATCTTGGGGATGTGAACACAATAACACATACGATATTAAATTACTAGAAGCTTTACATCAGTGTAATCAAATTTTACTCAATGACGGCTCTCCAACCCTAGTAAATAGCGGTAGGAAAAGTGCTATAGATTTAACCATGTGCACCCAAGACATCATCCAGTACCTTAGTTTGAAAATAATTGAGGATCCTCATGACTCCAGTCACCTTCCTATAACCTACACATTTGATACCAGTCATAAAAACACAAACTCCATTGACATATAGCATAATATATTGTCCCTTAAACGAGCTGATTGGAACTTATATTCCACAATTTTGCTTCAGAAAATCAATTTGGCGATGATATAGTTCTTTACTCCAGTGACAAAACTATTCCTAAATTTAAAGAAAATCTTAACTCCACCTTACTTAACGTCCACAATTGGCTAAATGAAAATAACCTCACACTCTCAGAACAAAAATCAGAAGTCTGCATATTTTCAAGAAACAGAAATATTTCTCAAGGACAAATGGAATTAGGGCCTTATAATTTAACAATTAAAAATACTGTAAAATATCTAGGCCTATATTTAGATCGAAAGTTACTATGGAAAGATTGTATACAACAAGTTATAAGAAAGTCCGAGAATTCAATTAACATATTAAAAGCTTTTTGTTTTACAAAATGGGGAGCTGGCTTAAATATCGCTTTATTATTTTACAAAACTATAATAATTTCAATCCTAGATTACGGCAGTCATCTTTACGGATCAGCAGCAGATGTTTACTTACAGAAAATAGAAATACAAAAAATAAAAGTCTTAAAATTTGTCTAGGATACCTGAAGTCAACTCCCATCAGCATCATAGAAATTGAAGCAACGGAACCTCCTCTAAAATATAGACGACAATTTATGAGCAATATATTTATGACAAGGGCCATATCCAAACAAGCACATTACATTTCTTCGGTCCATAATCTTTCCATACTTGTACTCACTCATCCATTCTGGCAAGTTAAAAAGACTCCTTTATTTGTTGAAAGCTATATACATATTCAAACATAATATACACAAACAAAACCATCCCATATTACACAGAAGCTCTTAATATCTTATTTTCAAATAAAATATATACCAAGAATATTAATCCTAACGATGATTTTACCAAAACAACCAATAAACTGTGGCCAGAATATTACCACATTTTTACAGATGGGTCTAAAATGAGTAACAACGTAAGTTGTGCTTATTATGATTTTAAAACAAAGCATTATCAAGAATATAATTTTACTAAAGGAGCATCAATATACACGTTAGAACTATACCCAGACAGCACACCAAATCCTTTGGATATCTACTGGACACCCCAATATTCACTGAATGTCCAGCCATTTTTTTTTCCTGGGCTCGTCTGACTATGTGTCTCCGAATAACACTGAAGCCTATTGGCTTATTGTGTTTTATCCCATGTTAGTTCATAGCACCCACTCTATCACCTTTGTACCTTGTACAAGTTTGTTCAGATCCTTGGGTGAGTGGGTTCTATACGTTGTTGGATCAACCTGGGGTTGTCCAAAAAGAGTCTGTCTTTTGCGATCTAGAGCTTCGCATTCGCACAGTATGTGTTTGGCCGTTTCTGGTTTCTTGTGACATAGTCAGCACATAAGTTCCCCATTGTACAATGTCCAGCCATGGTGGATATCTATTTTATATTCATGAGATGTAATTTATAGACATGCAAATGTCCATAACTAATTTTGTCCATTAAGAAGAAAGTCATTCTTGGACCGATTTCGTCCTTATTAGGAATAGAATTATTTCCTTTTTTAAGAATAGCCCGCCTGGCTTTGATTCTACCTAGTCTCTGAACTAGGTACTACAGCGACCTTTGATTTTGCTTACTAAGTATAGATGGCGATACCACTTTCGCTCGTTGAATATCTACTCATGCTCAACCCGCCGTAATTGAGTTCGATCGAAATTGATATCGCAATCAGACTCCATTAGAGACTGGAGTCGAGAATTTCTATTTATTGCTGAAGAGTCATAATAAGGATGACTTTCTCCTTAGTGGGCAAAATCAAAGGCAGAGTGTTGAAAATATTTTCTATCTCTGCTATTTTCTTTCAACGTTATCAATAATCATTGGTTACTTATAAACTTCTACTAAAGATACCCATAAAATATTTTGCTGAATATTTATAGAATAGCTTCTATATCCTGGGATATAGACGGACATTTGGATATCCATATTAGATCCACTATATTGGATATCCACAAAATATATTCTGTAGATATCTCTGGGATTTCTTGTATTGTCTGGGAGATACCCATTAAATATTTTGCTAGACATCCATAGACGGACATTTGGATATTCATATTAGATCCACGAGATATTTCTGATATCCTGTGGATATATTGGATATCCACAAAAGATATTCTGTGGATATCTCTGGGATTTGGTGTGTTGTCTGGGTACATTAAATCTGTAGGCTGGCTCACGAGCTAGGAGGAGCCTGTCATCTCAGGAGGATGCACAATGGGCCTAATGAGGCATAAGTGCGGTGGGGGTAACCGATTCTCTACATGTTACAGATACATATTGTATTATTTTTGATCCTAGGTACTTTAGTGCTACTTTTGATGCCAAGAGATTAAAAAAAGTTTAATCACATTAACAACATATAATCAACCTTGTTATTTATTGGTTAAATTTAATTCGTTTAATGTTAAAGTGCAACAATTTGGTCAAAAGCATTAAGCTATTTTTTATTTTTTTGTACATTTTAATTCAATATGATTAAATCTAATTTTCAGACTAAATTTATTATAAATATTTTAGGTAGTCTCGAAATTAAATTAAACCAAAATATTTACTGGGTATGTTGCAATATTTCATTAATTTTATTATAGTCGACTCTAGAAAACACTAGCAAGCCACGCCCACTCAAACAAGAATTAACTGGAAAATTCACTGCTTGCCTCATTCCTGTGTAACAGTTTTCACCAGTCCAGGGTAACCTGATGAACTTTTAATTGCATAAAATCATGTTCTGACATTAAACAATATTATTGTAAATAGTAAAAATAAATTAAATAATAAACTCTTTAAAATAAATCAACGTTACAATACATTTATAGGAACTTTTTGCCTTTCACCTGTATAACACGTTAAAATATTTATCTCTCATTTTGGAACACCCTATATAATTTCTGATAAACTGAAAGATAATCACTAGCACCCTTTTCTTCTTTGTTTTTTTTTTTAAATTAAACGAACTTATAAAACAAGAAATATCGCAAATGATCCAAGAAAGTAGCAATTTTCTTTCAGTTTATGCTCCAGAGATTCCAGCTTAATGGCTTTAATTATTTCAGCTCTAAAAGCGGACAAGAGGCGTCTCAAAGCGGAAAAATTCGATTTACTAAATCAGATGAAACAGTTGTATTTGACGCTAGAAGATAAAGAGAAAGAGCTGCGAGACTTTATAAGAAATTATGGACAGGTAAGAATATAAATTAATTTTTGTCATAATAATAATACTCTATTGGTCCACTAAAGTTCATTTGGTTAAAAAATAAGCCAAACGTAAATTGAAATATATGTAATAGGTACCTGAAAGAAGAGGTGCGGTGCAAATGGTTCTAAGACACTACATTTTGGAAGGTGATTATAAAGTCAAAAACTTTAGAAATGTTGGTTATACTCTGCTTGACACTTTTATGGTTTAATAAAAGGTCTTCTATACTGAAACCTTTTCTATTTTCTTAAAAAAAAAACCGTTCCGAAAATATGACAACGTGAAAAGAATCCGCAACCAAATCTCAGAAGAGATTCAAGTTCATGCACAGTGGACCAAGAAGCACTCAAAAGAGGCCAAAATTCTAAATTGCTTTGAAAGCGAAAGTTTTTGGGTTGGTGATTTCAAATCTGAAATTGGTCTTAAACTCGCATGAAACTTTAAACATGAGGATTTTTGTGATGATTTCAAAGGAGGGTGCACGTTTTAATTGTATAATACCCTTCGGTCAAAATTTGACGAAACTTTGATATGTTTTGGAACTTGACCTATCTATCAATTATCTTCGTATTTTTAAATTTTAAAGTTTTTAATTTACATCCAAAATCATAATTTAGATATATAAAATACATATTTTTGTCAGTATTAGCACAAAATAAGTGAAAACCTTTTTTTTTTTCGTAAAACTAACTACAACTCGCTATGCATTCATAATTTCTGTACCGGGTGTTCCATTAAGAGAGGCAGAAACTAATAATAGTACAGCTTTGGTGAAAAATATTTTTAATAAAAACGGCCAAGAGAAATTGCTGGATCTTATTTTCAAGTTTGTAGGGTGGCCGCTAGGGGGCGTAATTGTGACGTCAAAACATAAAAATGTAATTTTCTCAAAAAAATACCAAGTAAAGTATATTGATAAATATTACTATTTTAATTTTCAATGTTTTCTGAACAAAAAGGTTTGGGTGTAATTTTTGTCAGTTGTGAAATAGAGTGGTGGGGAAAGGTTGAACTTTAATTTGGAAAAACGCTCATAACTCCGGTTTGGATTTACCGAATTTAGTGAACTTGGTTTCGTTTAGAAGAGCTTTTTCAGCCTCATTTTTAGCTTTTCAAACTGTGGCAGCTTACGTTTTATAAACACCGCTAGAGGACGTTAAGTTAAAAACTGACAAATTTTACGAAAGTTTTCGAAAAATTTAAATACGATATATATATATATATATATATATATATATATATATATATATATATATATATATATATATATATACATACCTTTTTACATAGTTAGATAGCCCAATACTTTGGCGAAAACCGCATTTGGATATCTCTTTTCAAACCGCAGATTTTAGCAAAAATATAAATAAAACGTAGAAACGTAACACATTTAATGACCCGCATTTTCTACTAGGTCCATTTTTTAAGGTATAAATCAAATTTATAAATTTCTGCAAAACCATGATTTTTACATATTTTAAATAATCGAACGATAATAGACAAGAATGCATAATTACTTATAAGTATAATAATCCATTCATTCAATCAAGTAAGCTTTGAAAAACACAAACAAAAGACCTAATACTCAATGCCTTCCAAATGTTTAAACTGCCTTCCATCATTTTGAACACAACCTTTCCCTGGTTGACAAAACAGCTCTTTCCACTTCTGCTCTAGATATGCTACGAATAGCGTCTGTGATTCGTTGAATCATACTTTTCCTTGTCGTAGGCCTCGTACAAAAAACAAGGTCTTTCAATCTTCTCCAAAGGTAGAAATCGACACAGGTTAAGTCCGGTGACCTGCAACAAAAACGAGCGGACAATTTTGCCTAATTAGAATTGAAAATAGTATTGATACGATCATTAAAAACTTACTATAGACATAAACAATAGGTACCTCGGAGGTCACTGAAATAGGCTACCTCTTCCAATCCACCTATCGGGAAATGCGCGATCAAGAAATCTACGGACATTTGCAGCGAAATGGGCTGGACAGCCATCATTTTGGAAAAACATTGTTCTTCTGGTTTCCAACGGCACATTTTCTAAAAGAAGTGGTAAGTGATTGTCCAAAAAATTTAAATATATTTGCCCTCTAAGCTGCTCATCCCAAATAAAAGGACCTATGATTTCAGTGCCTAAAATGCCGCACCAAACGTTCACGCTCCACCTTCCTTGGTGCTGCATCTCCTGCATCCAACGGGGATTACTGGCTAACCAATGATACATATTGTGAATATTGATTCCACCGTCACTATGAAAGGTTGCTTCGTCCGTCCACAAAATTCGGGTTAAAAGGTTTCTGTCTTCCACTATCATATTTATCAACCAATGACAGTAGTCTAACCTTCTGTCGTAGTCTGCAACGGTCAAAGCTTGGTGCAGCACAATATGATAAGGATGTAACCTAAGACAAAGTTTACTTAGCAGTATTAGAATATCATAATAATATTATATCTAATAATTACCTGTGTTCTTTCAATATTCGAAATACTGTAGTCTGAGGGATACCTAAATCTCTCAAAATTACTCGAACGCTTAGCTGGGGATTGAACTCTACGTACTCTAAAACATTGATGACATTTTCCTCAGTTCTTCTTGTACCCTATCTGCGGTGTAAGGGGCGAAGGACACTTTCCGTGGTTCGAAAGTGATTTGCTAAACAAGTAAACATTCTGCTGCCCTACCGGCGTCTTTGAGGATATCTCAACGCGTACAGCCTTGCAGCTATAGTCGCATTTTGCACTTTGCAGGCACTCAAAATAAATAGCGATAATATCGACCGCCTCTTCAAACAACAAAGGCATTAAAAAAAAAAACAAAACTACGACAAAATAATGTTGTGACGTGAAAATTGTTGATTTTTTGACATTGCAAGATTTTTTTTTGTTTTCAAAGCTTACTTGATATGCAAATATACCTACACGCTCAATGGATTATTATACTTATAAGTAATTATGCATTCTTTCGATTATTTAAAATATGTAAAAATCATGGTTGGTAATTAGGTTTTGCAGACATTTATAAATTTGATTTATACCTAAAAAAATGGACCTGGTAGAAAATGCTGGGTCATTAAATGTGTTACGTTTCTACGTTTTATTTATATTTTTGCTAAAATCTGCGGTTTGAAAAGATATATCCAAATGTGGTTTTCGCCAAAGCATTGGGCTTTTTTTCTCTAACTATGTAAAAAGATATATAACGTTTATTTAAATTTTTCGAAAACTTTCGTAAAATTTGTCAGTTTTTAACTTAACGTCCTCTAGCGGTGTTCATAAAACGTAAGCAGCCACAGTTTAAAAAGCTAAGAATGAGGCTGAAAAAGCTCTTCTAAACGAAACCAAGTTCACTAAATTCGGTAAAGCCAAACCGGAGTTATGAGCATTTTTCCAAATTAAAGTTTAACCTTCCCCCACCACTCTATTTCACAAATGACAAAAATTACACCTAAAGCTTTTTGTTCAGAAAACATTGAGGATTAAAATAGTAATAATTATCAATATACTTTACTTGGTATTTTTTTTAGAAAATTGTATTTTTATGTTTTGACGTCACAATTACGCCCCCTAGCGGTCAAAACAATTTCCAGCAATTTGTCTTGGTCGTTTTTATTAAAAATATTTTTTCCCCAAAGCTGTACTATTATTAGTTTCTGAAATATAGCCCCCTACCTCTCTTAATGGAACACCCGGTACATACAGTATGACAGAGACACATTTCCGAAATTTTTCATTGTAGGGGTGATGATTATTAGAAAATTTCTTCGGTGGAAATTAATTTTTTGCTCTTCATGATCTTAAAAAATAAAAACTTTGAATTCCATATTATGGAATAAGCCTCCAGTTCGAACATAAATTGCATTAAAAAACGCGCTGGCAGTCAACGTGTTAAAAAAATTGTTTAATTAAGAAAAATTTAAATTCTTATAATTTTCTAAATTGTAATAAACAACAAAAAAAAAACTAGTAAGACTCTCATTTACTTCTATTGAAATTATTTATCTTTAGATTTACAGGGACGTTTTTAACATAATTAAAAATAAAAACAAAAAACAACGAGACAACAGTTAAACTAATATACAAAAATAATAAAAAAATTAAATTTCAAAGAATACATTCGCGCGCTCACAAAATCGTACTAGCCTAAATTTTGCAATGAGCTATTTATTTTGTTTTGAGAATTTATTTTGATTTTTGTTTTGTATAATATAAAATGTTTGTCTTTTGATGTCATTATATATTTTTTTTCTAAATTTAAGAAAAATTGTGCTTGTGATAGTTTATGTTACATATTAAAAAAATCATTTTACCCCCTCCCCCCCCCCCCCCCCGTATTTATCGCTCGTAAATCTAGGAACTGTCACTTACACAAAAAAATTATTGAACAGGACACAAGAAAGAAAATACCGAAACAAAATGTCTTCGGAGACTCAAAAAGCTAAAGAAATGCTACATAAAAAAATGAATATCTAAATTTTTACGTGGTTGATCCCGGTGTTGTTAATTCTTTTCCCAGAAACTATATAACAACATTCACTTATTTTAATTTCAAAGTCGGTTTTCGGACAGTTTTGAATGTCACCTGGCCCACTGTATCATAGCAGGATTCCCTATGCAATAACTTTATGCGACCCTCCTTCGAAAGAAAATATCAGGTTGGCCCACCTGCTGCTAAATGCTCGCCGTCTCACGTAGTGGTATTTGCCAAATATTTTATACGCGAGGGGTGAATTCTCCCCTTTATCGATGGAGGTTTTCGCGTGTTTAGGGAACGATTCTCCTCTGCCCCCAAGATAAAATGTCGAATACGCTAGCGTATCTAGACATATTTGTTGGGAGGGGTGCCAAATTGCCGCTTTGTAACATTCTTACAGATTTAATTATAATAAAACAAAATTAGGTTTTATAAAACAAAGTAATTAACAAAATTAGTAAAGCAAACAAACCCGTTAGTGTAGGTAAAAACCATCTATTACGTGTAACTTTATCATAATTTTAAGTATCTACATCACTATTCAAATGTAACGGAAAAGTTGACGTTTTCCGGGATTTGTGATAATTTGACATTATTGGTCCACTCGTGAGAAAACATCATTGGTGTACTCGTATATTAAAAATAATACAGAGGCTATTAATGATCTTTGTGGGACATATATTTTAATTATTAAAGCTTCACTAAGTTTATTTGTTGTCTGTTTTGTAAATAAGACACAATCATCTTATCTGCAACTTCTCTAATGCCATATTTTTATCTAGTTTGATAATTTACATAGTCAAATGCTTTTAACAAATCATTGTAATTTATTTTCCAAAGAATCACGAATATTACTCATTAAAGCTGTAGTTGTTTTCTATTGTTTAAAACCATATTGTTCAACAAAAAACATTAAATAACCGTTACCCTCTATTTTTGTTAAGTCCTCCACTGGTTGAAAGCAATATATATGTAAGCACTTTGCCTTTATTAGATTACCTAACGGAGAAGGATGGGACATGCTTTGTTCGACGAATGAGTAATACAATAGATAAATAATGAATGACTTAAATTGTGAAAGAGGAAATAACGGCGCTCTAACTTTTTAATGAATAACAATATTTTTTCGTCAATTGAAACCAACTATAATAAACTATAGTGACGGATTAGTGACCTAATAAGTACTTACTACAAATCTTTTATTTCGAGTATAAACGCATTGAAATAAAAATCTTTCAAGTTCGGTTATTGAACCTGTCATTGTGTTCAATTTCTTTAACGTGGATTGGTTCAATTCCTGGTTAGCACATAAACATCATGTGATTCCAGGATCTTTAACCTCACATGTAATGTTTTTCTAATGTAGGTAACTCTAACATGCCTGGGACTACCGAATTTTTGCAACTGCGGGAGTCTTATAGCACCTCTCATAGAGGTTACAAAGGAAAGTTCATAAAACATCGCGCTAGCAGTTTAACAAAACATTCCATTGAAAATTGTTCTGAAACGTTTTATAGATGTTATAATGTGAGTTACTTCTACAGGTACAGGTATAGTTAAATTAAAAAAAGTAATTCTTTATAATTTCTCTTGCCTGTTAAATAAATACGATTAACGTTGAGAATCTTCGATTTAATTGCACAGAGTACCCAAAAAATATAATAAGAAATTTTAATGAAATAGAGAAAACAATGGAAGAAAAGAATACCTGCACCACACTCTTTCTAGATGTAACTAAGGCATTCGATAAAATACCTACGGTTAGAGGACCTTGAATATAAAATAAATAAGCTTTTACCTAAGTAATATTGTGACTTCTTAAAATCCTACATGACTGATAGAATCTTCCAAATAAAAAAATAAAAAGAATATCTCACGTTTAAAGAAACAGGTATACTTCAAGGAAGTGTTTTTTTTATTAAAATATTAAAATCTGATTATATAATTCAATCAATAAGCAATTTTTGTCCAACTTATATTAGTACGTTTGAAGATTGGACACTTACTTACTAGTGTACCTTAGGTACTGATGATTTTTTACACTCTACTTAACGTGTATTGACTATTGCGCACTATGCTTTGCTTTTTTCTGTCACTTTCACTTACACTAACTCAAAGGACTTCTTCCTCTTGAGTCTTCTTACTAGATCTTTATTGCCCAGGAGCTGGATGACCTCGAAATTCACGTGTTGGTGGGGTCGCAACTTCTTGCAAATTTGTTAATTGTCTGTTTAACAATGTCCATCTCCAAGTCCCGGTGGAGGTAAGTGTTTCTACAGTACCAGGAAGCGTTGAATATGCTTAATACTTTGTTTTGGAATCTCTGTATTATGAGTAAATTACTCTGACTGGCACAGTCCCAAAGCTATATACCATATGTCCATACTGGTTCCAGAATTTGTTTGTATACCAATATTTTGTTATATATTGACAGGGTAGAATGTGTCTCATGTTTCTTAATTTTATGTTGAGTTCTTCACATTTCGTTTTGACATACGTAGTCTCGCGTTTAAAGTAATATCTATATACTTTGCTGAATTTAAGGGATCTGGGTATTATTTATTCTGACTGGTATATACTCATTGTTTTTGTTAGTATAATTAACATGTACGAATTTATTTCATTTAATTTGATTCTCCAACGGTTGGTCCAATTATTAATTATATCTAATGATGTTTGTAGTTTTCTTGCAGCCTCCTTGTGGGTTTTCCCTACTGTCCGATAGCTGTGTCATCTGTAAAGGTGGTTATTATTGTATTTTGTTCTAATTCAGGAATATCACTAGTGTATAATACCTATAGGACTGGCCTTTATGCATTTGCTTGTGGTACTCCTGCCTTAATTTCTTTAATTTTAGAGTATGCTTGTTCCTGTTTAATCCTAAAGTATCTTTCTGATATATATGATATGATATATGATTGGCAATAAGCAATTCATTTTGTATATGAGTCCTTTATGCCAAACTCTATCGAAAGCTTGCGCTACATCAAGAAACACAGTAAAGCTAACTTTTTTCTTTTTTTCAATAACATTATCCTATGGACTATAGTTGAATGGTTTTCTCTAAATCCAAACTGGTGTGATGGATTTAGTTTCTTTTGTTCTAAAACTTAAAATACATTCATCAAATATCAAATTTTATGAGTCGTATACGAGGTTTATTAAAAATGAATGTACTTTACTCTTGAGCAAAATTAATAAGCAATTTTTTTCACATAGCGTACATCTTGAATTTTATAAGAATCTGAAGAACATTTGGGGATAGTGTTGAGAAAATTTAAGAATTGTGAGGATTTTTCATACACTTAGTCAGTAGCGTTTCAGTATTCCCGGTTTAATTTTTAGTGGTAATAATTATTTTAAAGTACTCCTTAGATAATAATTCATGTAAGAACACTTTTGATTTTATTAAGATACCTTGGACCATAATAAGTATTTGAGCCTTTTTTCTTTTAATTAGTAAGTACCGATTCTGAAGCTTTGCCATATGCTTAGTCAATGGCATTACGGTGTTGCCGGTTAAATTTTTTCCCCAGATTTGGGAAAAAATCGGGCTTAATGCTGCTATTACTACTAATTGCTAAAATTTCTAAAAAATATTGTGTGTCTATCTATGTGATCAGCATATGAAAAAATGTGGTTATTAGTTTTACAAAAAAATTTCTCGATAAATAATAAAGATTAAAATTTGTGAAGTATTTATTAGTATACAAGGAAAATAAAAAAATGATTCATGCTGAAGTAAAGTACTTTTTCAATACAAAGCAAAATATGAATTGAACATTTTTAAAGAAATAAAAAAAAACATATGCCCAATATATTCATTGAACTTATTTCTTATTTTTAAATGATTTTGACTTACTTTGTGTGGGATAATAAATAAATAACAGACTCACGTATATCCTCAAGAATTATTTATTATATTACAAATAACTCGATTAAATTTAAATTACAAAATAACCTAAACAAGCAAACATTTTGAAATGTTAACTGTTTCCCGAAAAAACAATGTAAAAAGGGTTCTAAGAACACATCGATAGGAACACTTCAATAACACAGTAGCGTAGCAATAATTTATTCCAATATAAGTAACACACTTTTTAAATAAAACAACCAATGAAATTTACCAAATCTATTCAAAAGCATACATTATTTATAAACTGTTAAAAAAACGACAAGGAAAATTGACATTTGATGTTTGCACTATTTGTCGTGGGTACATTTTATAGCAAATACATTAGTACGTTTTATTTTTGATTTTCCTTAACAACCTCTCATCAACGTTAGGTGCTATCTGTATTGGAGACCCTGCAACAAAATAATAATAATTCCTTCCTGTTAGGTGTAATTGTCCCAGAATTTTAAAATAGTAGAGATAATTCAATATTTTTAGTTCAACCCTTCTTCAATTGACGTATTTATTATTACTTATTATTTTATTCCTTCACTTGGATTAACCATCGTAAGAGTAAATTAGAACTCCTACGTTCATCTAATCTGATATACGTTTAATAGATATTACTTATTTATAACGTTTCTGGTCTACCCCTATAATTTGTTTCAGCGGTCAAGGGACAACGAATCGTCGATGCAGCAACTATCGACGGAACGCGAGGAACGAGAAAGGGAACGTTGGAGTTTGCTGCGGCACGCCAGAGACGAAGCCGAAAGAAGTTTATCGTTGGCGGCACAACTTAACGCCAAGGAGTTGCAACTTCAACAAGCACAAGAACAGTTACAAGAAGTAAGTGTCTACGTAGTCAAAACAAACCTTGTTCTTGTCAAATCAAATCAATCAATAATGTTGTTGTGATAAACCATGCATGTATTGACTAACAATATGACTAACAATATGACTATGACTAACAATATGACTAACAATATGACTAACAATATGACTAACAATATGACTAACAATATGACTAACAATATGACTAACAATATGACTAACAATATGACTAACAATAACAATATGACAACAATATGACTATGACTAACAATATGACAGTATCTAAGTATGATCCAGAAAGATACTGCCTACTTAACTACGAACTGTTCTTGATCTACCGGTAAGGATAGTATTTGACTCATTCTTTAAACTTTTTATCAAAATTCCACCATATAATGTTATACGTTATTATCCTTTACACAAAAATACGCTATTCTATCAATATTACCATTAATAAATCAAAAAATCATTTCAACTATCAGAAAATATAATGATAATGCACCCGTAAAAATATATTTAAACATAAAATCATTGCAGAGATTCTCCATTATTATTTACACTATTTAGATTAAACGTTAGAAACTTACCCAGTGTCAAACAGTTTTCTTAAATAACTAGAAACTAATAATTTATTTTTATGCGACTTGATCATTCACAAAAATGAAAAAAGATCTTAATTGAAACTAACTTCAGAGAGAGAAAAACATAATCGTTATGAACCTCTGGCGCTAGATGGGCCTCGTTTAAATCAAGAAACACATTCTATGGTTAGACAATTTTATATTTATAGACGAGGTTCGTTTCTGATTACTACGTGTATCATTACTGTTGTGTATTGTTAAGTACACTAAATGAAAGGCCGTGGATTCCTGGAACGGTTTATTAACAGTAACACCTTTATAGCTTGTTACAACAAACACTAAATCTAAGATACAATACGAAATGGTCTCGAGACGTTATGCCTAACACAAGCCCTCATGGAGGAAGGATTACAAGCCCTGGTATAGACTGACAACCAGTGCTACCAACTTTGTCAGTGTGAACATAACAATTACTTTGAAAATTTATTACGAAAACATGGATAACATGTTACACTCTTTCATTTTACTTCCATCAATTTTAATTTAATTTTCTATTTACAGGCCAGACGGCAGTTAGCATCTAGCGGATGTCTCTCGGACCAAGAATCCTTAGCCTCGCTACCAAGACACAACATCAACGGCGGTGCTTTGACCCCGGGCTCCGGTGGTCTGCTTTCAGGACACCACGGATTAGGCCAACTTCCCGGCGACAGGGGAAGTTGTAGTGCTGATTCTGGTGTTCGAGTGAGCTCGGATAGAGAAAGCGGAGCTACATCTGTCGCTGGAAACTTATCTGATTCTACGACAGATGGTACTCCTACTATTACGTTGGGAGATGGGCACAAAGACATGGATTCGGTGTCGCTGATTTCATCGGTACCACCGCCGCACATGTACCAAAGTAAGTACGAATCAATAATTCTAACAATTTTGAGATACTTTAAATATCTTCAATAAAACGATACTGGTTTTAAAGTTAAGATAAGCTAAAAGTTCTTAAAGACCACGTATTCTTATGCAAAGTATTAAACACACTCTTTAAATAAAAATTAAAAAAACTACCTGCTCTTAGGTCCCCAGACAACACACCAAATCCCAGAGATATCCACAGAATATCTTTTGTGGATATCCAATATATCCACAGGATATCTGAAATATTCCGTAGATCTAATATGGATATCCAAATGTCCGTCTATATCCAGAATATAGAAGATATCCTATGGATTATCCAGCAAAATATCTAATGGGTATCTTCCAGACAATACGAGAAATCCCAGAGATATCCACAGAATATATTTTGTGGTTATCCAATATATCCAGTGGATCTAAAATGGATATCCAAATGTCCGTCTATATACCAGGATATAGAAGATATTCGGATATTCAGCAAAATATTTTATGGGTATCTTTAGTAGGTAACCATTGATTATTGAATAACGTCGAAAGAAAATAGCAGAGATAAAAAATATTTTCAACACGCTGCCTTTGATTTTGCCCACTAAGGAGAAAGTCATCCTTATTTAGGACTCTTCAGCAATAAATGGAAATTCTCGACTCCAGTCTCTAATGGAGTCTGATTGCGATACCAATTTCGATCGAACTCAGTTACGGCGGGTTGAGCATGAGTAGATATTCAACGAACGAAAGTGGTATCGCCATCTATACTTAGTAAGCAGAATCAAAATCCACCATGGTTTGCGTTCGCTCCTAGACTTTGATATATTTAGTGGATGTCCATGGGATATTGAATACAAAATTAATTTTAAATATCTGAACGGTACTATTAGCCACAATGGCGTAATTTTTTAATAATTTGCTATATGATTACTATTATTTATGGACATTTGCATGTCTATAAATTACATCTCATGGATATAAAATAGATATCCACCATGGACTGGACATTCAGTGGATATTGGGATGTCCAGTAGATATCCAAAGGATTTGGTGTGCTGTCTGAGTCCTATTGATCTTATATTGGTTTTATAATACTCTTGACATTGGCTATGTTAAAATTGCTTTGCTATTTTAAAGGATTAAATAGCAAGTAGGTTTTAAAATAATCCATTTTCGAACAAATAGTTTTAATGTAGTTTTATGGAGTACCTTTGATGTATTCATTAAAACCTATCAAACCTTTATACACAATACAATTCCACATTAATTCCAAAACCGTAATTATTACATTTTGAAGAGTATAATAAAATATTTTAAAGCTTTAAGGTTTTAATTCAGTCAATTTGGTTATAAGAAATGCTTTTTGGATTTATGACGACTTTATTGAAACTATGTCTACTCCCTTCACGTTTGGAACTAATTTAGTGAACCAGTGCAGTTCGCCCTTACCTATTTTTTTACATTTTATCAAATTTCTCGAATACGGACCATTTTAGGAAAATTTTGTAAATAACAAAAATTATAGATAATAAAATAAGAAGTAACTTTTATTTAAAAAACTTTCTTCCCCAAACGTAAATAACAGATATATTCCATAAAATATAAAAATGACCACCTATAAAGTACCCCCCCAGATGTTCCGACTCTGCCCAAAATCTAATCAGCTCATTAGACGCTGGAATAAAGCTTAAGTTTGAAATTTGGTGTTTTTCCGTGTATCGGTTCATGAGTTATGCGTTATACAGACACACACACACACACACACACACACACACACACACACACACACACACACACACACACACACACACACACACACACACACACACACACACACACACACACACACACACACACACACACACACACACACACACACACACACACACACACACACACACACACACACACACACACACACACACACACACACACACACACACACACACACACACACACACACACACACACACACACACACACACACACACACACACACACACACACACACACACACACACACACACACACACACACACACACACACACACACACACACACACACACACACACACACACACACACACACACACACACACACACACACACACACACACACACACACACACACACACACACACACACACACACACACACACACACACACACACACACACACACACACACACACACACACACACACACACACACACACACACACACACACACACACACACACACACACACACACACACACACACACACACACACACACACACACACACACACACACACACACACACACACACACACACACACACACACACACACACACACACACACACACACACACACACACACACACACACACACACACACACACACACACACACACACACACACACACACACACACACACACACACACACACACACACACACACACACACACACACACACACACACACACACACACACACACACACACACACACACACACACACACACACACACACACACACACACACACACACACACACACACACACACACACACACACACACACACACACACACACACACACACACACACACACACACACACACACACACACACACACACACACACACACACACACACACACACACACACACACACACACACACACACACACACACACACACACACACACACACACACACACACACACACACACACACACACACACACACACACACACACACACACACACACACACACACACACACACACACACACACACACACACACACACACACACACACACACACACACACACACACACACACACACACACACACACACACACACACACACACACACACACACACACACACACACACACACACACACACACACACACACACACACACACACACACACACACACACACACACACACACACACACACACACACACACACACACACACACACACACACACACACACACACACACACACACACACACACACACACACACACACACACACACACACAGACAGACATCATCGCGAAAATAGTCAAAACGGATTCAGGGGACCTCAAAACGTAAAAATCCGTCGAAAACTCGAGGTCGAAAAAAATCATGATTCCTATACTTTCCTTATATCTGTATACAGATAGGAAAGTAAAAATGAAGAGTTTGAGGATTTTCTCATGGACCCAATTATTAGATTTTAAATAAATTTATATGGGACCATCCCTGAAATACCCCCTTTCTAACAAAAAAAGAATCATTGAAATCGGACACCGTGTTAAAGAATAATCGATGAACATACATAAAAAAAAATATCGCGACGAATTGATAACCTCCTCCTTTTTTGAAGTCGGTTAAAAAGACTCAGTATCTCTTGTCCTAAACTAATTTAGATAGTGTAGATCTGATTGGGTCATTAAACTAATCACTAAAAAAGAAGACAGAGCACGTACACTATATAGTTTTTTGTATCTTTTACCCTTTAGTATGTACTCTGTAATATCAACTGTTTTTTTTTTCAGCTTCTACAAAAGACTGCAGCCCCACCTTATCCCCTTTAAATGCAAATACGTTCTCTAGGTCAGTAGATCCTGCATATTTTTCAAGGTTGGTATTGTTTGTGCATGTATTAATGTAATTTCTTACTTTTAAGAATTCAAATTTAGGAAAATATTTACTTTTATAATAACAACGGGAGGTGTTTTATAAAAAAAATAATAAACAGATAAAAAAAATATCTTTAAGAAGAAAACAAGCAAAAAATATGAGGATAACGTTACATACATTGAAATAAAAGGATAAAATATCTTCGTTTCCTAATTTATTCATGACTGCCGTACACAAATCTTATCAATAGTTAAAACGGAGCAAATAAAATGTATGAATCGCTTATTTCAGAAACAAAGTCACTTTTTTTCTATATTGAGTTTATGGTAATAACATTGTAGTTTGGAGTAACACAAGTTTAGCGTAGAAAGTACCTGATTCCCCTAAATATTCTTAGTTATAATTAGGACAATTTAAAATATTCGTTTATATCTGAAACAACCTTAGTCCTGGTTCTAGCTGAAAACATTTTTTTTCTACGAACTCTTACAAAAAGACATCTTTCGCCACAGGATACTTTCAGCGAAAACTTGATTTCCATCACTAGTGAGCAAAAATCCCATAACGTTTACTTTCGTCTCTAGTGACGAAAGTAAGTTGTTACATATTTTCATATATCAGTCGCCTCGTATAATATTTTGGCAGCTTATAATTATTAATAATGAAATAAAAAGATGCTCATTAAATTCTACATGCGTTTTTACCTAAACTTTAATGAATTAAAGATAAAATAAAAATGTATAAAAATAGTGCAAATTAAACCAATCTACATCTAGTTTCCTGGTTTTCATTTGTTTATTTGAAGTTTTATCACTTTTGAGAACTGTCAGTTTCAGTTCGTCCTAAATTTAACACATTTTCATGATGTCTGAGTCAGAAAGCGATTGTACTCCCCCAGAAATTATTTTTAAAGCTGAAGAAACCTCTTCAGATTTATTACCGGCCAAATCAAAAAAGAGATATGAAGAAATTTAAATCAAATTTTTGGACTGGAGAGAAAAAAATTAAGTGAAATCATTTTCGGAAACTGTACTACTAGCATACTTTGGAGAAATATGTTCAAATTTTAAACCGTCGACGTTATGGTCCATTTATTCGATGCTAAGAACTACACTCTCTGTTAAAAATGATGTCGATATTAGTAAATATCCAAAGTTACGTTCGCTTTTGAAAAGAAAATCTGATGGTTTTAAAAGCCAAAAATCCAAAAATTTTTCGCCTGAAGAATGCACCTGACTATAAATATTTAATAACAAAGGTAACGGAATTATTATTTTTATTTTAACAAATACTTAATACATAACTACTAATATTTGTAGGTAGCATTAGTTTTTCGATTATCTGGCGCTTGTCGTTGCCACGAACTAAAAGATTTAACAATAAGCGATGTAAAGGATACTGGAAGTATTCTGTTTGTTAAAATCCGTAATATAAAAACAAAAGTTCCGCGTTCTTTTCATATTTCTGGACCCTTTTATGATATTTCTAAAAAATATATGAACCTACGTCCCGCAAACATGGATCAAATTAATTCAAGATTGACAAGGGGGGTAGCCATGTGTGAGTTGAAGTAATTTTAAGGTGAACTATCAGAATGGAAAGTGTAGCAGACAGGTTGTTGGAATTAATAAAATCAGTAAATTTCCTAACGAAATTGCTCAATTTTTAATGCTTCCGAATCCTCAAGATTACACTGGGCACTGTTTCCGCAGAATATCCGCAACGCTATTAGTGGATGCAGGAGGTGACTTGCTTCTGTTAAAAAAGCACGGTGGTTGGAAATCTAGTAGTGTTGCGGAAGGATATGTTGATGAATCCACGAACAGTAAAAACCAAATACAATCCAAAATTTTACAATCTGTACAAAATAAGGAAACTACTAGTTCATCCGATTATGGCGCATCATCATCTGAAATGACATTTAACAGTAGAACAAATATGTCGGCATCTACCTCAATAAATAAAAAGCTTGAGTATGATACCCCCATAATTTTGAACAATTGTTCAAATATAACAATAAATCAATATTTAAATAATAAATAATATTTCTGAAATATTTAATTGTTGGTTAATTTTTTGTTATTCCTAACACAAAATAAAGCATTTGCTAACGTTTGTTTTTTTTTTCATTTTAGTAGGTACCTACATGACATAATAGAGTTCGTAGAAAAAGTATAGTGTTTTACTCGTCGAAAATAATTTTCGTCACTCGTGAAACAATATACTAATTCACCTCTTGAAAACTTAAAAAATGGCTTATGTTGTTTCTAAAATAAGCGATTCATATATACAGAGTGATGCACGTCGATCTGTACATCATATACTTAAAATTTAAGCTTAAATGGTATTTGGTAAGACAATTCCTCAAATAAAACATTGATCAAATCTAATTGAATTCAACATTTGATTCTGCAACAGAATATTATCTGTATCTTTGCTATACATCTTCAATAGATCGTTTTATAAAGTAAAATTTAAAATAATTAAAAAAAAAAACTAAATAAATTCTCAGATCCGTAGAGCAGCTTAGTTCTCCAATGGAACCAGAACCAATCACAGTAGGTAGAAGAAGTAAACAATCTATGAGACCGTCAAGCGGAAGCAGGGGAGGAACGTGGGGTAGCATATCTAGAGTTTTCGCTAGGTCAAGACACAGAAACAAGTCAAATTCATTGCAGGAAACGAGTAAGTATAAATAAATATTAAATAATCAAAGGTTGTGAGTGTGTATAACAGGGGCAGAAGTTGTAAATGCTTTTCGCAGTTCTCCCACTCATACATAGAAATTGACAGTTTTGAGGCGAAGGTAACCGAAGTAGACGCGATACATTGGCTTCCAAAATTATTTTATAGGAATTTTATAGGAATCTTATTTGGATATAATAATACTTGTTTAATAATTATTTCTAGTGCATAAATACATGCGATAAGGCTCAAAACAGACCGTTTAGGTCTATGGCCTGGTTAGTTTTTTCCATTCGTCCCTATTCTCGGCTTTTTCTTTCCAGTTGATGATCTTTTTTTCCTTAATATCTTCTATGATCGATTCCCTCCATTTCCTTTTAAGCCTTCTCTTTTTTCCCTTCCGGTGTTGTCCAAGCTACTCTTTTTACTGTTCTTGAGTCCTCCATCCTTTCTATGTGTAACCTTTTTGACTGTATTATTTCGTATATGTTGGGTTCGTTAAATATTTCGTAGATTAATTTGTTTGTTCGTCTTTCCCATCCTTCTTCTGTCTTTTTTCTCCCATATATTATTCTTAGGATCTTTCGTTTCCATATTTCAATTTTGGTCTGTTCTTTCTTATTTAGTGTCCATGTATCACTGCCGTATAGCATTGTAGGTCTGATTATTGTTTTGTACACACATTTCTTTATTTCCCATGACAATTCCTTTGATTTTCGTAAATTGTATAAAGCTTCTGTGCATCTATTGCTCTTTGCTAGACAGAAATCTATTTTAGCTTGTTCTTCGCATCTATTTGTAATTTTTCGTCTGTTGTTATTTTTCCTATGGTTTTAGTTTGTAAATTTAACTTTCCAGAATATTTTCTTGTGTTTGTGTATGAGTTGCATGTACTGACTCTTCTTTTCATTTATTCTTAGCCCCATTGTTCCTGCCGCGTCTAATAACTGTTCTGTTATGTTTTTAAGTTCTTTTTAGCTTCTCGCTAACAGTACATCATCTGCGTATACTAATGCTTGGTCGGATTTGTTGAACAGGGTTCCATATCTGTTTAATTCACTGTTTCTGATGACTATTTCAAGGGTTAAGTTAAAAAGAAGAGTGGATAATGGGTCTCCCTGCCTAAGACCGTTTTGGACTTCAAATTCTTCGGTTTCCTCACCTACTACTCTTATTGCACACCTTTTACTTTCCAGGGTCATGTTCGTCAGTTTTACAAGTTTAAGAGGCATTTTTGGTTCTTTCAGAACATTTACCAATTTTCGTCGATTTACTGGATCATATTATGCGCTTTTAAAATTATATATAAATAAAAATTTCCTTGGATTATTCGGTATCTATCATTTAGCACTACCTATGTTTCGCCGTTTCGGAAAAATTTCCATCTTCGGGTGCAGTCAAAATTTAATAAAACATGGGGACAATTACAAACAGTTTAAAATTTTTGAAAATAACAGAAACCCCAACAGAAAGATGATTAATTTTGGTTACTGTCTCCAAAAAAAGCTAGGAAAACATCTTTGTTTATTGTATTAATTCATTGGCTGAGTGAATATTACTTCTAAATTATAGAATTATATAAATGAATGAATTTTCTAGGTGAATCTTACGATCCGTATCGTAGTTGGTCTCCGCTAACCGAAGAAGGCTACGCAGAGAAATTAAGACTGCTTAGAGAAGCGAATAGCATACCCATGGAACGATGGAGGGCCTCGACAGTATTAGCATGGTTGGAGATAGCATTAGGAATGTCTCAGTACGGGACCAGATGCGCGGAAAATATCAAAAGTGGCAAGGTATTCTACGCAATTGAAATTAGTTTAATGTTGTAGTAATAAAAAAAATGTAGATGTATTATTTAGAGTCGATTTTTTGACCTCTCAGTAGTTACACGTAAGCTTAATTGACAGATTAGCGAACTATAATCTATAGCCCAATCAGCAAGTAGTTACTTTCAGTATTTGATTTTACGTAGGCAGCTTGTTCCGAGATAGTAATTTTACTAATTTGGAAAGACAATTTTGAATAATTAATCGTTGATGATAATTAGGAATGATGCACTGTATTTGTATTTGCATTATATTTGTTTTTGCACGAGGTATATACTATTTTAATTGAAAACTTTTTTTGAAAAACAACACATGTCCACTGTGATAATCAGTGGCCATTGCCCATTTACTGGCACACTGAGGAAAACGCTTCAGTAAGAAAGTGTTACTACTAAAAAGTTTACTATGGCTGTAAAACTTTTTACTGCTACTGTTAGATTGTCTAACAACAACTGTTAGATGTGTTACTAGGACTGTAAACTAAGTTTTACAGTCCAAATTCTTACCGTGGCAGTAATATTTTTTTACTACTCCAGTTAGATATAGAATTACTATTATTCGTATTACCATCATAGTAAACCTTTCTTACTGAATCAGTAATTTGTATTACTACCGCAGTTAGACCTTGACTAGTAACATTTTTATAACTACCACCGTAAAACTAGCATACTGAATCTGCAAAATAGTAATATTTTTCTAACAACCACGGTAAGACAGGTTAACAACAAATGTACCGAACCGTTACGATCAATGACGAAGAGCTTCGATATATCCTTTTGCACAGGCATTGATTTGAGTCGACGATAATCACAGAAGCAGTCAACACGTTCAATCGTCGCATCGTGAGCTTAGGTCATAGCGTGCATGAAGAAGTGCGAAGTGCTGCGTAATTTCTATCTGGGGGTATAAATGGTATGATATTGAATATGGAATATTGTGCATTGTTAACGGAGTGGGGGTTTTCGGACCTAGTTTATAGTTTCGTTGGTAAGTAATTCGAAATAATATACTTATCTAAATATAGTACCTGTATCCATTTTTATTTATACATTAGTAAAAAAGGCGGGAAATGCATAATGCATGAATGCTTTTATTTCGAATTGAGGATGAGCTATACGGTCTAGAAATATTTTAACTGCACCGGAGCATATTCGTAGTATCAAAAATGTAATATTTCCAAGAGAAAGTTTTAAGATTAAAATTTATTAAAAATGTTTGGTTAAGATTCACAGAGCAATAAATTTGTTAGATTTAAAATAAAGCTGTGTTCAATGAGACATAGCGATAGCGATACCAATCGTATCGATCCATATCATTTTCGAGCGTTTCATTTCTACTCTAGTCTCTAACTTTCTGCTGCGATCGCGAAATTTGAGCGGGAAAGCTCATAAAAACAACCTAAAACTCCTAAAACCTATTGCTATTTGAGATTACTTAAAAAATATATCTTGAACAACCTGGTTATGCTTTATATAGTGATAAAAATCATAAAAAAAACCTTAAATATAAAAATATTGTAGATTGTTGATCAAAACACTTAAGTGACAATAAACAAGTTCACTTTCAGTTGCAAATACTACGTTTCATTAAACTTGAATTGTCGTTCCACACAAATTTAATTTTTATTTTTAGATGAGGGCATTGATGATAATTCCTTTCAATTATTAGATGAAGAAAGCATAAGGCATCTTATTTTAAGAAAAAATTCGAGGAATTTTGTATGACCAAAGAAAATACCATGGTAAAATTGATATTGTTTTATTATCCAAATTTGACATTTATATCTCGAATGGTTTTCGAGTAAACTTCCGTTCCTGCAGCTTCGGATTAAAAATACCCTGTAAATATTTTTTTTGTATCTTATAAAAATTATAAAAACATTTTAGCTCTGCTGTGCTATGCTGATTTCAAAATAAACAATTTTTCTTTTTTTTTTTTTTTTATTTTGTCAATCCTTTTATGAAAAATTGACCGAAGATTTTCCAGAGGAAAAAATTAAGCAAATCGATTTATTTAACTGAAATTGATTTAATTTTGTGTAAATATTTTTCTTTGAAGCGAAAGATAAGAGTTTATTTTTCGAGTTCATGAGAAAAATATTTACCTTTGTTAAACCTATTTCAGCCTTTAATATAAATTATATTTTGGTAAAACATTTTTACCATGATAGTAAGACGTTATTACAGTAACAGTAAACCCGTTTTACTGTAGTAGTAACCTATTATTACTGTATCTGTACAACAATTTTACTATAGTGGCAAAATATTATACCTGTAGCAGTGAAACAGTTTTACTAAATTGGTAAGACATTATTACTGTAACAGTAATACCGTTTTACTGTAGTAGTAAGATAATATTACCGTTACAGTACAGCAGTTTTACTAGAGTGGTTAAATATTATTACTCTAACAGTGAGACCGTTTTACTAGAGTGGTAAGAAATTATTACTGCAGCACTAGAGCAGATTTACCAAAGCAGTAAGACAGTATTACTGAAGCATTACAACTAGATGTTACGTATGGTAATCCTAGATATTGGTGGTAGTTATACAATTTTACTGTAGCCGTAAGAAAAAATTACTACCTCTGTAATAATATTTGACCAGAGCTGTAACATAGTTTTACTGCCGCAGTCGAATAAATTCTTAGTAATCCAAATATTAGCAAATCTTGTATTACTGTCACGGTAAAATCTTCTAGCTGAGGCATATTTAATTAACTTTTTCTTACTGCCACGGTAAGAATTTTTTTTCGGTGCACATATAGTTATTTCCTGCAAAAGTAACAGAGAATCAGATTTATTTGCTGTCAAATATAAGGCATTTTTGCAATGTCTAAGAGTAGTGATATACTGTGTTTTGTGTAATGGACATGTGTCGTTTTTGAAGAAAGATTTTCCATTGTATTCCTATTTGCATGACATGTATAGTGCTAACAAGATCAAACCTTCGATCCAGCTTTACCTGCGATAGAGAGAATACTAAATGCACTTCGTACTTGCAGGAAAACAATCGACCACATTATGTTATGTTGCAGTTTACCGCTGGAGCCATAGGTCGGTCGCGGCTACTGATCGCTAAATAGCAACGACGTTATCACATTCTTTTCTCTCCTACATGCAAACTCTATTGGTATCCGGAACCTGAAGAAAACGCGAAAGTGCCCGTCAGACATATTCTTGAATTCATCAAGAAAATCAATCTGATGGGGTAGAAACTGTGAGGGGTACAATAAACCTAGAGCTTCAGATAGATACTATAGGTCTTGCCAGCACTGTACTTATATAATTTTTTTCTTTGATTGGGTATTGTTGCCGGTAATTATTTATCAACCTAAAATTTTAATCTAAAAATCTTGTGAACTAATTACTTATCTAAGAAGTCCCCATTGAGATAGCTTATATAATTATTTCTATTGGACAGCATCTCAAGTTGGCGTGTCGATTTATTACAGTTTCACACTATCACGATCATTAACGTTCACTGCACTATCTCAAATGGCTTCTTTTTTTGAACCTTCTGTTAAGTGCAGAGTTGTCCAGAAATTGTAGCGCCTTTTCATTGACGTTGAAGGATAGTCAATCATCATGTTTCGCAGCAAACTCCTTTATTTCTTCTTCGAGTATTGGCATCTTCTGAGATGATAGAGGAAGATGAAATAGAAGAAAGGGACATAATTGCTGACTCAACAAGAGAAGATATAGAAAAGGTCATTGGGAAAAATGAAAAAGGAAAAGATGGAATTAAATATGGAGGATTAAATATGGAGTCAACGAATTGAAAGAAAGACTATTATCTCTAATTCATAAAATATGGAAAGAGGAAAAAATGCCGAGAGAGTGGCAAATAGAAGAGGTGATAACAATCCATAAAAAAGGTGACCAACAAATAGGTACTCGTATGTCAAAATTACAGAGGAATAACACTTCTTAATATAGCTTATAAAATACTTTTAGCAATAATACAAAGACGACTACCAATGGGGATTCATACAGGGGAAATCAACTATATATACAATAAAGCAAATAACGGAAAAGGAGTATGAACACAAAATATTATTAGAAATGCTTTTTATTGATTTTAAATAAGCCTTTGACTCAATAAAAAGAACAAAACTGCATTGGCCTTACAAAAATTAGGAACACCAATAAAGTTAAGGCGGTTAATAACAATGACGATACAAGAAATAAAAATTAACATTAAAACACAAAAAGGAGCGACAGAAGAATTTATAATTAATAAAGAAGTAAAGCAGCCACACTCTGTTCAACTTCTCATTAGAGTATGTGACGAGGAAAATTAATAAAGGAACACGGATAACAGGGGGAGGACGTCATTGCATATGCAAGAAAAATCATGGTAAACATCTTGAACGAAATTGTAAAAGAAGGAAAAATTATGGGACTAGAGTTAACCGAGAAGAAACAATAATCATGAGATTAGATAACAAAGCAGCATCAAAAAGCATCAAAATAGGAAAACACGAATTCAAGAAAGTGCAAAAATTTAAATACTTGGGAATCACAATAGCTAAAACTGGAGACAGAAAACTATAAATATCAGAAAAAATTTTCACTACAAATAAATCCTTTCACGCAAATAAAAAATTTCTTAAAAGCAAATTACTCACAAAAAATACAAAAATGAAAAAATACAACACAATAATCAGACCAATACTACTGTACACAACAGAAACAATGAGTATGACAAAAAAAGAGGAAGAAGATCCACGAATTATGGAAAGAAAAATTAGGAGATCAATATTAGGATCAATGAAAATTACAGAAAAAGAATATAGAATTAGAACAAATGAGGAAATTAAACAATAGCTAGAAGAATATTTAATAATAAAAATAAAATAATCAAGAATTATATGGTTGGGACACTTTTGGAGAGCAGGTTCATTCAATGTTACAATGGGACCCCGGAGGAAAAAGGAGACGTGGAAGACCTAGATCAGGATGGCTAAAGAAAGTGAAAGAAGATCTACGCAAGGCAAGAGTGAATAATTGGCAAGAAAAAGTACAGGAGAGAAAAAATGGAGAGACATTATAAAGAGTATTATCTAAGAGAAAGGGACTGATCCACCCAAAATATAGATCTAGAGAGCGAACAGCGGCTTAGCCCTATTAGGGGCGTTTTTTTGGCCACTTTATATATACGGACTGGCCCAAAAGTCTGGAGACGGCCAATTATCTCGTAAATTGCTAATCCTAATTGTATTTTGTGGTATTTTGGGGTACACCTATTTTGGGATACGGAGATTCCAGATTTGATATTTGCAATGTTGCCAGATTTGCCGTTTCTCTTATATTATTAGTCACTTTGGTTTTTCAAATTCATCACCCTGTATATTCAGTCATTATTGGAATCTCATCTGCAATACGAGTTCAACCATATGTAACACTTATGATTTTATGTAATCTGGAAGGTCTTAAATAAATAAAACAATCATGGAAAAATGTGGTAGACGCATTCTACCATCGATTAGGGTACTGTCAACTCACAAATGGAGCACTTTTTGAACACTTGATAAAGTAACCATTATGTTAAAAATGTCGCAATCTTTCAATTGTTACGTTTTAATGTAGTTGAAAATAGTTTGTATTAAAAAATTTATTGAGACAATTAGGCGTTGCCAGACTTATTTTATTTATTTAAGACCTTCCAGACTACATAAAATCATAAGTGTTACATATGGTTGAACTTGTATTGAATAGGATATTCCAATAATAACTGAATATACAGGGTGATGAATTTGAAAAACCAAAGTGACTAATAATTTAAGAGAAACGGCAAATCTTGCAACATTGCAAATATCAAATCTGGAATCACCGTATCCCAAATTTTGTACAATTAGGACTAGCAATTTACGAGATAATTGGCCGTTTCCAGACTTTTGGGTCACTCTGTATATATTGGCATCTTTAGGCCTCTACGAAGATAATGGTTTTAATACAACCTAGGTGCATCAATGATGTGTCTTGTTTGTAGATTTTAACCAGTAGCAATTCAATTAACATAGTGTCCTAAATATTACAGACAGTCAGTTGCACGCCATTTACTTTTCTTACAATAAAAAAATATTTTTAAAATTCTTATTTACTTATGAGCAGAACTGATCTCTTGAACTTTTTTCATCAGACTCACGGTTTTATAAAAAAATAAAATCTATTTCTCTGCATGGTGATCTTGTTAGTATTAACAATATTTTATGATCATGTTTTTTTTTCAAGCAAAAACGGTGCACCTACAGAAAAATCATGCAGTCAAATTTGCTTAGAAATGAATGGGATTTCAAAAATGATTTTTATTTAAAAAAAATCAGTGGGGCGTACCATCAATGTCTGCCAAAATATGAAGGTCAGATTCCGCACGAACGCCACTAGTAGAATTAAAAAGAAATGTGGTACATCAAAAAATGTCTCTTGATGCATAGTACCTGTATCCCAAATTTCATTAAAATACCTAGAGTGGTATTACAGATATTATTAAAAAATTATATACGCTGTATCTCAAATGTCAAGACGTTTGGGACATACGTTTCTATAAGGTTTTCGTCTTAAATTGGACCCAAAAATCAACCCCTTAAATATTCACATTTAATTAGAAAACTAATTGTATAAAAAACAATACTATTAAAATTAATAATGTGACTGTATAATCTCAATCGAAATCCTACAGACGCATCTGTTAAATAAATCCTTAATTTTAAGATTTGAGCACCTAGTTTAAAATAATTTTTATAATTAGTTCTGGAATGTAGAATTTTTAGAAATATCCTAGTTAGCTAAATTTAACACACAAATTTAGTATTTTAGAAAATTAGTTTAGGCAAAATTAACATAAAACATTCATCAATTGGCATTTGGAAGAAATTCCTCCGGTAAAAGACATGAATGTATGTAAAAATCTTATAGATTGGTCCTTTGCATGGTCAGGTGCTATTGGAACTCAGCGATCTGGAACTCGAATGCGGTCTGGGAATCACCCATCCGATGCACAGGAAGAAGATCCGATTGGCGATCGAGGAACATCGCAATCCCGGATTAGTGAGGTATCCCTGCATTGCTCAACTCGGCCATACGTGGGTGTGCAGCGAATGGTTACCGGATTTAGGATTGGCACAGGTATATTTTAATTTTTTTTAGTATGTTAATAAAGTTTACAACTAGTTTAAAAAAAAACCAACCGTTATTTCATTCTTGTTTTTTATTATATTATATTCAACTAAAAGATAGGTTGGAAAGCACACATCAGAAACTTAAAAGGTAACTATTCAAGTAGACTTAAATTCTTAAAGAATCTAGAACATCAACCGAAAAAGAAGTGCTGCTAAGAATATTTAGATTCTTAATCCGTTTGAAACTTCATCTACATTTTCGCCGCAAAGTTAAGGACTCTGAAGCATATTTACACATTCTCCTATATGATGGCACCGGAGTGCTGAAATCTGTTCGCCTTTGTAGCCTACAAGTACGCTACAAAAGCTTACTGATTTAGGTACCCATACAAATTTTATGTTATGTAAGACTTTTCTTTTCAATTTGAGCTGTATCCAGGCCGTTGGAGTCTATGCCGGTAGGCGTAGCCAGGTATGGGTTAAAATTTTTACGAGAAGTCGTTGCTTCGTTTTCTTCTTGTATATTTTCCTTTTTTTTTAATCCCAAAACACTTCAAATGCGTTATTTGAATGACATCATGTCTATTAACGGCATTTTAGTACACGACCGTTTAACGGCAGTTTAAGTACAGCCATTGTTTCATAGAATGCAGGTAAGCTTGCTTACTGATTTCAGCAATAAGAGAGGCCTCATGCATTGGTGCCTAAATCAATGAGCTTTTGTAGCGTAATTGTAGCCTCAAAGGCTAACAAATTTCATCACCTTGGTGCCGTCATATAGGAGAGTGAGTAAATATGCCTACCGGCATAGACTCAAGCGGCCTGGATACAGCTCAAATTGAAAAGAAAAGTCTCACATAAGTATGGGTGCCTAAATCAGTGAGCTTTTGTAGCATACTTGTAGGCTACAAAGGCGAACAGATTTCAGCACTCCGGTGCCATCATATAGGAGGATATGTAAATATACGACCCTGAACTCTTCAGTTATACTGCTAGAGTATCTGCCAATCCACAAAATTAGGTAAATGCGTTAATTAAGGTCTCCACGTAATCAAACCACGAAAATGCAAAGATTATCTCAAATGCACACACCTCTTCTGTCAAATGTAGTCTTCGCTGCAACAACATTATTCAAATTTCTTCTGTTCCACCTTTGGGACTTACACCAACATTTCTCTCAGGCAGTACTCTAAACATGAAACACCTAGTTCACATCTGCGACAACATTTTTTAGAAATTGTTAATCAAATCCAATATGACAAAGTTGTTAAAGTTGAAGTTGTACAGTCACTAACCAAGTAATTAAAACAAGCATAATTACAATATTTTCCAGTATTTACATTGCAAAGTCATTAGGTATCCTTTGTATTGTCTCGCTGGCGTCGGTCAGCTCTATCAAAAACATTTACACTCCTCAACTCCTAGTTTGGTCCGCACATGACTCCGTTAACCAACTTGCCTCATCTGGAGTACCACTAACAATATTCCAGGAAATGAAGCGACCTACAGTGCAGCACAAAATATTCTTACATCCAACAAAAATCCCCTGGGAGTCCAAGAAATAATTTTAAGAACAACATAAGAAGATCTCTCCTCCAAATTAAAAGATATTCAACCCACCGTCAGCACATCTAAAAGTCATGTTAAAAAAATATGTATAAACTTATCATAAGACGACATGGATCGGACATTCTTATCTATAAAAATCTATAAAAATCTATAAAAATCTATAAAAATCTATAAAAATCTATAAAAATCTATAAAAATCTATAAAAATCTATAAAAATCTATAAAAATCTATAAAAATCTATAAAAATCTATAAAAATCTATAAAAATCTATAAAAATCTATAAAAATCTATAAAAATCTATAAAAATCTATAAAAATCTATAAAAATCTATAAAAATCTATAAAAATCTATAAAAATCTATAAAAATCTATAAAAATCTATAAAAATCTATAAAAATCTATAAAAATCTATAAAAATCTATAAAAATTTATAAAAATCTATAAAAATCTATAAAAATCTATATAAAAATCTACATAAAAATCTATATAAAAATCTATATAAAAATCTATATAAAAATCTATATAAAAATCTATATAAAAATCTATATAAAAATCTATATAAAAATCTATATAAAAATCTATATAAAAATCTATATAAAAATCTATATAAAAATCCATATAAAAATCTATATAAAAATCTATATTAAAATCTATATAAAAATCTATATAAAAATCTATATAAAAATCTGTATAAAAATCTATATAAAAATCTATAAAAATCTATAAAAATCTATAAAAATCTATAAAAATCTATAAAAATCTATAAAAATCTATAAACATCTATAAAAATCTATAAAAATCTATAAAAATCTATAAAAATCTATAAAAATCTATAAAAATCTATAAAAATCTATAAAAATCTATAAAAATCTATAAAAATTTATAAAAATCTATAAAAATCTATATAAAAATCTATATAAAAATCTATATAAAAATCTATATAAAAATCTATATAAAAATCTATATAAAAATCTATATAAAAATCTATATAAAAATCTATATAAAAATCTATATAAAAATCTATATAAAAATCTGTATAAAAATCTGTATAAAAATCTATATAAAAATCTATATAAAAATCTATATAAAAATCTATATAAAAATCTATATAAAAATCTATATAAAAATCTATATAAAAATCTATATAAAAATCTATATAAAAATCTATATAAAAATCTATATAAAAATCTATATAAAAATCTATATAAAAATCTATATAAAAATCTATATAAAAATCTATATAAAAATCTATATAAAAATCTATATAAAAATCTATATAAAAATCTATATAAAAATCTATATAAAAATCTATATTAAAATCTATATTAAAATCTATATAAAAATCTATATAAAAATCTATATAAAAATCTATATAAAAATCTATATAAAAATCTATATAAAAATCTATATAAAAATCTATATAAAAATCTATATAAAAATCTATATAAAAATCTATAAAAAAATCTATATAAAAATCTATATAAAAATCTATATAAAAATCTATATAAAAATCTATATAAAAATCTATATAAAAATCTATATAAAAATCTATATAAAAATCTATATAAAAATCTATATAAAAATCTATATAAAAATCTATAAAAAAATCTATATAAGAATCTATAAAAAAATCTATATAAAAATCTATATAAAAATCTATATAAAAATCTATATAAAAATCTATATAAAAATCTATATAAAAATCTATATAAAAATCTATATAAAAATCTATATAAAAATCTATATAAAAATCTATATAAAAATCTATATAAAAATCTATATAAAAATCTATATAAAAATCTATATAAAAATCTATATAAAAATCTATATAAAAATCTATATAAAAATCTATATAAAAATCTATATAAAAATCTATATAAAAATCTATATAAAAATCTATATAAAAATCTATATAAAAATCTATATAAAAATCTATATAAAAATCTATATAAAAATCTATATAAAAATCTATATAAAAATCTATATAAAAATCTATATAAAAATCTATATAAAAATATATAGAAAAATATATATAAAAATCTATATAAAAATCTATATAAAAATCTATATAAAAATCTGTAAAAAATCTATATAAAAATCTATATAAAAATCTATATAAAAATCTATATAAAAATCTATATAAAAATCTATATAAAAATCTATATAAAAATCTATATAAAAATCTATATAAAAATCTATATAAAAATCTATATAAAAATCTATATAAAAATCTATATAAAAATCTATATAAAAATCTATATAAAAATCTATATAAAAATCTATATAAAAATCTATATAAAAATCTATATAAAAATCTATATAAAAATCTATATAAAAATCTATATAAAAATCTATATAAAAATCTATATAAAAATCTATATAAAAATCTATATAAAAATCTATATAAAAATCTATATAAAAATCTATATAAAAATCTATATAAAAATCTATATAAAAATCTATATAAAAATCTATATAAAAATCTATATAAAAATATATAGAAAAATATATATAAAAATCTATATAAAAATCTATATAAAAATCTATATAAAAATCTGTAAAAAATCTATATAAAAATCTATATAAAAATCTATATAAAAATCTATATAAAAATCTATATAAAAATCTATATAAAAATCTATATAAAAATCTATATAAAAATCTATATAAAAATCTATATAAAAATCTATATAAAAATCTATATAAAAATCTATATAAAAATCTATATAAAAATCTATATAAAAATCTATATAAAAATCTATATAAAAATCTATATAAAAATCTATATAAAAATCTATATAAAAATCTATATAAAAATCTATATAAAAATCTATATAAAAATCTATATAAAAATCTATATAAAAATCTATATAAAAATCTATATAAAAATCTATATAAAAATCTATATAAAAATCTATATAAAAATCTATATAAAAATCTATATAAAAATCTATATAAAAATCTATATAAAAATCTATATAAAAATCTATATAAAAATCTATATAAAAATCTATATAAAAATCTATATAAAAATCTATATAAAAATCTATATAAAAATCTATATAAAAATCTATATAAAAATCTATATAAAAATCTATATAAAAATCTATATAAAAATCTATATAAAAATCCATATAAAAATCTATATAAAAATCTTTATAAAAATCTATATAAAAATCTATATAAAAATCTATATAAAAATCTATATAAAAATCTATATAAAAATCTATATAAAAATCTATATAAAAATCTATATAAAAATTTATATAAAAATCTATATAAAAATCTATATAAAAATCTATATAAAAATCTATATAAAAATCTATATAAAAATCTATATAAAAATCTATATAAAAATCTATATAAAAATCTATATAAAAATCTATATAAAAATCTATATAAAAATCTATATAAAAATCTATATAAAAATCTATATAAAAATCTATATAATAATCTATATAAAAATCTATATAAAAATCTATATAAAAATCTATATAAAAATCTATATAAAAATCTATATAAAAATCTATATAAAAATCTATATAAAAATCTATATAAAAATCTATATAAAAATCTATATAAAAATCTATATAAAAATATATATAAAAATATATATAAAAATATATATAAAAATCTATATAAAAATCTATATAAAAATCTATAAAAAAATCTATATAAAAATCTATATAAAAATCTATATAAAAATCTATATAAAAATCTATATAAAAATCTATATAAAAATCTATATAAAAATATATATAAAAATATATATAAAAATCTATATAAAAATCTATATAAAATCTATATAAAATCTATATAAAAATCTATTAAAATTTAACACGAGACTAATATAAATATAATGTAAATATAATACAGGGTAGCTTGTTTAATTGACAATCTAAAATTATGGCATGAAAAAGTCTTTAACCCACTAGATACTTTGACTTTGAATAATCGTCGGTTGTAATGCAAAACTTGTTTGACCTAAAATATTGATACATTCTCTGTTATTTTAAGTTGATACTTATTTAGTTTGTTTTATTTTCAGTATTCAGAAAGTTTCGCTACAAATATGGTCGATGCAAGAATGTTAGAACACTTGAGCAAAAAGGAATTGGAAAAATATTTAGGAGTTACTAGAAAATTTCATCAGGCGTCTATCGTTCATGGAATACATCTACTGAGAATCATGAAATATGATCGACAGGTATGAAGTGACATATTACATTAAAAGTGCTTCATGGATAATGATGGGGACTCAATGATTAAATTAATAAAGTACTATTTTGTTTGAGTTCTGCTTCTAAATCTTTAGACGTTTTATCATTAAGTATACTTATTTACTTATGTAGTATATTTTTTATAAACCATAAAACCGCTATTTTCTTTTAATTCCACTGTTTTGAAACTAGGCGCTTGCAGTTAGAAGACACCAGTGTGAAACTATGGATGCTGATCCGTTAGTATGGACCAATCAGAGGTTTATAAGATGGGCAAGAAGCATCGATCTTGCAGAATACGCCGATAACTTGAAAGGTACTAACTTTTCAACGTGAAGTAACGTTCTTCAAAATAGATAGAACTAATTATTTTTAATAATCTTTTTTCTACTAAGTTAGTTACATATTTCAAGAGATTTGACAATTTTAGATAGTGGCGTACACGGAGGTCTGGTAGTTCTGGAACCATCATTCAACGGCGACACTATGGCAACCGCCCTAGGAATTCCAGCTAGCAAGAATATAATCAGAAGACATCTGACTGCTGAACTTGATGCTCTAATTTTACCTGCCAGGTACGTCATTTTTTGCCAACTGGACGAACTTCAAACGGAAGCATCAAGAGTTATATCAAAACATAGATAATCAATAAAAATTTGTATATTTTATGTTGCCTATCCGTTTATTGGGGACCAGAGAGCGTTCTGAGATTTTTGAGCGAGAACCAAAATTTGATTAATCTTTACGTAAAACCTTAAACGTTAAATTTAAACATTAAACTTAACGTTAAACATTTAAGAAACCATAAACAACATTAAACAAACATTAAACAAAAATTAAACAAACATAAAACAAGCCTTAAACAAACATTAAATAATTATTAAACAAACCTTAAACCAAATATTAAACGAACATTAATCAAGCATTTAACAAACAATAAACATTAAACAAAAATTAAACAAACTTTAAATAAAAATTAAACACACATTAAACAAGCTTTAAACAAACATTAAATAAACATTAAACAAACTCTAAACAAACATTAAATAATAGTTTAAACATTAAACAAACATTAAACAAGCTTTAAACAAACATTAAATAAACATTAAACAAACATTAAACAAACTCTAAACAAACATTAAACAAACACTAAATAAACATAAAATCAACATTAAATAATCGATTTAATATTAAACAAGCTTTAAACGAACACTAAGCGAACCCTAAACAAGCATTAAACAAACATTAAATAAACATTAAACCAACATTTTTAATCATTTAAAATAATTTTTTGGATATTAGTTAAAATAATTAAATCGTTAAAATTATTAAAATCAATGATTATTCTAAATCATTTAAATCTTTATGGCAATATTAAAATTTATTATATTCCAAAAATTAATACATTTATAATATTTAAGCTATAATTAAATTTAATTGAAACCATTTCAATTGAAATAAACCTTAACCTAAACTTAAACTCGCTTGTAACCTGACGCATCACATCAAAAAAGATGAGCGTATTAATACCTCTGATTTTGAAAGACCCTGTATATTTACCTAATGAAGATGTTTCATTTAAGATTTTAAAAACGATATCATTACAATTTTTGACAATAATCATATTTAATAAGTATGGTAGATAAAAGTGAAAAGGATAAACTCTTTGGTTCCCAAAATATATCATACAGGGTGATTCCTCTAAATTTACATTGCTTGAGTGCCATAAATGAAATTAATCATCAATATATTTATTTTAATAACATTGAAAATAATTTTAATTTCTCTCTACTACAATCAGGTACTCAGGAATAAATTGCAATCCCCCTGTATAAGAACGATTTTTTTATTGTCCAATATCAAAATGAAATATCTATAATAACTGACGTAATAAATCAAATCTTATTTGCAGAATACAACATATTAAATTATAATACTTTTAATTTATAAATCTATATTGATTTGAGAATAAATGATTTATTGATTATTCATTTATTTCCGATTGCATTTTTTTACATTTTTTACACTGTAATTACACAAACATTCTATGTTATTTTATTGCTATGTCCTTTGCACTGCCAACTTGAATGTTAGAGCACTTGATGTCATTCAGTGTTATACATACTACACTTTGAAAAATTACATTGTCAAAAGTCACAACTTTAAATTCGATAGAATCCAATCCAAATAAAGATTATTGTGAAAAGCAAGGAGTTGTACTAGTATATTTTTCATAAAGTTCAAAAGTTATTTTGATTTTTTTTTAGTTTAAAATTTTACAAATACATAATATTCATTATTATATAACATATAACAATAATACAATAAATGATACTAATAATTAATGATATGCAAATATTTATTAGTGCAAATCTAAAGGAAAAATGAATGCTTTGCTTTAAAAACTATGGTCCAAACATTTTTTTTTGCTCTCTTCAATAATTACATTAATTTTCTCGGGCTACAACGGTTTCTATTTATTCACTCATAAACGGAGCAATGTAGGAAAACAACTCAGGGAAAGCTATACATTTCAAATTGAATAGGAAATTCAAAGAAAATATTTATTTAAAAAAAAAATTGACGTATCATTTTTTTTTTTTTTTTTTGAAAATAATCGAGTTTAGTTCACGTACGTACGCCACTGTTAAAGCTCTTTTTGTATTGAAAACTATGCACAATTATTAACCGTCACCTAATATTAAATATCACTGAAATATTTCAAGCGTTTAAGAAAATATTAATTAATTTCCTTTTTTTCTTCTAAAACTTTAGCACCCCGTATTTTAATAACGAAATATTGTTGGATCATTAATATTTCAGGTAAATTCACACCCTTAAACATTCGCATATCATTAAGGAATACCCTGTATAATAAATCTACCTATTAATATCTTTTTTCTCAGTGTAGTATGATAATTTACCTCAATATCCTCATATTATTTCCAATTTGCATGTTTCAATGTTAGACTAGCGAACATATTCGGGGTAAATGTTTTGTGTTAATTTTCTGGCGATTTGACTATAAAATGGATTGATAGATCAACAATGTGTTTGTTCATTCTAAATAAAAATTGAACAATAATTTCATTCGCATAAGTTTTAATAATAAGAACAAAAATGGGTTAACTAGAATTTTTAAATAGGTATCATCCTGTCTTATGAATTTTTTAAACATTATGTAAATAAAATATGAGCTTTATTTTCGATACAGAAAAATTACCATTTAGATTAAATAGGTATCCAATGACAATAAACGAAATGTGTGATATGGGTATTTAAGTGTGCTTAAATGATCTAGTTTGAAGATAATAATAATAATAATAATAATTTATATTATGAAATAATATTAAATATAGCTGATTGCAAATGTGGGTGATTTGCTTGCTATTTGTAGTTAGGTACATAATAGGGGAATGAACAACATATACTATAATATCCTGGTAGTGGGAGTGGTTATGTGACCTGTGAAATTCAAAATAAAATTGATTATCGATGGATTTCTGCTATTTACTTTTTCATTAATTATATCAACTTCCGAACCCGTGTCTAATAAACTTTTATTTTATATCATTGACTAATAGTAGTACAAGATTATCATTATTTTCTATTAAAATTTATATTGAAATTGTAAGAAAAATACGAATAATTTTCCAAATACTGTATTTCTTTCCCATCTACATAATTGTTAACTATGTCATTATGGTTGTTGCTAAAGAAATTGTCTTTCAAAACTCTTCCTTGTATCCCATCTTCTGTACTTCTATTCTTGTCTCTTTTCGCCACTGGCTTTCAGGTCTGATTCTTTTGAAAATAGGTTAGGTTATTTTTTGGAAACGCGTATTCCTGATTACTTGGTTTACTACAGAATTTCTTGATATTTAAAAATTTTTAATTTTGTAATAACTTCTGCTTTAAATTAATTCATGAAATAATGAAATAATACTCTAGTGTGTTATAAACTATAATTTTTTCTCACATGGCTTATTTTCAACATAATTGTCGAATTTCAGTCGGACAGTGTAAAATAAAGTAAACTTCGCATAAACAAGGAAGTCATAAGGAGCTCAGGGGAGCTCAGGGGAACTCCAGGAAACTAAGGAGGAACTCTTAGGAACTCTGAGGAACTCAGAAGGAATTCCGAGGAACTCTGTTAAAAAAGGAACTCTTTTGTACAAAAGTCAGTCAGTGGTTAACCCCTCGATTAATTTCTTTACCAATGAGCTGTATTTGCAAGGTTATCTTCTTTACCCATACACATCAGTTCGCGGAGTGAAAAGGTGGCGGGCAAATTTTAACTGACGATCTAAAATGGGGAACTGAATCGAACTGTCGATTCGTGGCGGCCTGTGTGCATGTGGACAAATTTAAACTGACGATATGCAAAACTGCAGTTCTAGATTGCAGGGAACTGTATGTAAATGGGTACCATAATGATAAACTGCGATGTGTATCGACAGTTTAAATCTGCAGTTCCTGACAGTAAACCTGTTGGAGGATGTCGCAAAAATCTTCAATTCAAAATGGCAAAATGACAAAATTTTAAATCTGTCAAACTTTGCTATGCAGCCATATATCGTTCTACAGATGTAATTGCATTTCTTATTTTCATACTTTTTTTATTTTAATGACTTTATTAGCACCAAAAGTTCGTTAAAACAACTTATACTCCGGAGTTTGATATTTTCGTCGTTTTGAGGGTTACGAACAAAAGTTTTATATACAAATTATATTTGAAATAATCGAGAAAATCATGGTCGTGAGTTTTAAGTTGCCCTGCATACAAAATTAAAGATATCAAAAACATGATGAATTGCAACAAAACTAGAATACTATGAAATTATTCTGGCCTTGAGATATTAAGCCTTAATTGTTGATTCTAAATAACACAGGGTGATGATTTCATTAAGATTTTTCCATAAAAGTGGCCATTTGCTTTAAAAGTACCCTGTAGAACCTGATAAAACTCTATATTGTCGGAATGGAGTAATTGAGCAAAATTTAAATTTGAGATAACATAGAGGGTGTTCCACTAAAAAACATAACTTTGGCATGTTGATCACCCTGTATGTCGTCTATCCTGGGATAGTTTTTGAGATCATCTTTGGTACTAGTTCTCATATTTCGCACTAATGCCTATGAGCTATTGTATCACGTTTCAATAACCGACCTTTTAGGCAAAAACATTTTTTTTGTTTTTTTTGATTCGTCGTTGTAATATTAAATGCACAAGAAGTGCAGGTAATTTTTTTCTTCTTGAAGAAGTTTTTGAAAACATTGTTAATTCAGCGATCTGTGAATTAAAACTGACAAAATGCTTGTGCCTTTGAATAAATCTCAGTTTGCCTGTAGTTTTTAAAACTCAATTTGAAAACTGATCGTTCGAGAAAATTGAATGGTGTATATTTTAAAAAACTTGACTATGACTAGACAGAATCCGCGCCTGATCACAGCCATCGCGAAATGTGAAAATATCTTTATGACATAGAGCTGTCAGAATTTGCAATCTGCAAGGGATGCCTATATAAGAATATGAGATCATCGAGCATATTCTCTACATCTGCCAGATGCTCCCATTTATTAGATATATTAGAGTTTTGGCGAATACTGGCCAATATAAGAGAAGCTCCTCTCGGCTTGTCAACTATATCAATTTTAAAAGATGACTGACAAGCTAAGAGGAGTTTATCAATTTAGGAAGATGCACTATGGGACTAGTGAGGCTAAGTGGCGTGGGACAAACCACCCTCCCCTAGTTACAGATACAGAGTCACTCTCCCTGTACCCAACTGCAAATAGCTTGCAAGAAGGCGACGTGCCACATTTTGTAGTCAGCTGAGGGACTATTATAACGAACCATCGAGAAAATAAAATAAATATAATTAGAATTGGCTGTGAAATTTACTTGTTTTGGGTTTGTTCGTATATCCTGATCGCTAGACCACCTCAACGACAATCCAGAGGTCGCGGATTGGAGCCTCAACCAAAGAAGAATGTTTTTAGTTTCTTAATTTTTCTTTGGTTTGTTCCACACATTAGGTAAATTAGACACAAACGTATTAAATACATTTTGAAATAAATAATAATTGCAAGTTTCTTATTTTTGATTTTTTTTTCAAAATTTGTTTATTTTAACCACTTCTATAAACAGTTAAAAAAGTATCAACTTAGGATTTATCATGTATTGATAATAAAATAAAATTCAGCTCAGTTTTAAAATAGTTTGATTATTTTTTCACAAAATTAAAATAATATTAACCTCTGTATATTCTGAATTCTCATTGAGTATTAGATTTAAAGTCGGTATCACATGGTCAATTGATAACTGACCAGTTCAACTAGATATACTTATGTGAAAAACGTATAAAAAAGAGAAAACCAAAATTTGAAAATGACATTATAAATAAAGCGTTAAAAACTTATGGTAAGTATGACTGCTTTTATAACCAACTCCATATGCTACTCAATGTTATAATTAAAAAAAAAATCTGCAAAGATATATAGCATCCATCCCATTGTTTCCAAAATCTGGATGTGGTATAGCATAGAATGCTTGTGTATCCCGCACTGCTTTTTTTCAATGTTTTCATTTTGCACTTTTATACCAGATCTACACTAGAGCACTATGTACGAGTTAGGGCCAAATCAAGAGTTCTGGGAGGGTCCTTAGGTCGTACCTTTTCGCGATCTTGTGGAGGACTGGTGGGAACTTCTACGGCTAGCAGAAATACGTTTACCAAAGAGCACCAAAAGTCAAATAGTATTAGGGTAAGTAACAAAAAAAAAATAGGAATTGTTTAACTAATACAGTCTAAGAGCTGGTCATTTTGAGTAACGTGTTGAGTACAAGGCTAAAAATTTGTGTATTTACAATTTAATACCAGCTGAAAACAGACATACAGATTTGGCGGTTGCAACATCTACATTAAAATTTTTGAATGTGTCAAAAAAATTGTCTTTACAATACTAAAAGTTTCAAAAAATATTATTTTATACTCCGAGCGTAGTAATTGCTCGGAGATTTTATAAACATAATCACAATTGTCATATTATTTTTGCGATTGCTAGTGCTCGCCAGGAGACTATACAGGGTGGGCTACTTAAAATATATATCCTTATTTTGTGACGTCATGCCGTACTTCTGATTTTTCCCGGAAATAATAGTAAATTGCAATTTTTTATTTTTAAAAGAAAACCTCAGTTTTTTTAATGAAAATTCTAATAAACTTTTTTGAAGAAGAATATTTTATTAAAAATGTTCTGTCAGCTGTCATAATGGCTGCCATATCGGATAATAATAGTTTTAAATGTGTTACTAATAGTTCGTAAAAACTCTTTGTAAAACTTAATTATTTTTAAATAAATTGTGATTAAATTATCCCCTTTTATACAAAGAGCACACGTTTGTGACAATGTTATCCTTAAATATGTGTGACATTTAATTCACTAACTGTTTCTAGTCTGATATGACTTAATGGCAGAAATAAATCATACAGCATCTTTTAGAACACTCCAAACAAATTTATATTTGTATCCGAAATTGGGTTAAAATTAATTACTTATCAGGGACAACATCACGAAGCAATGCATATTTAAATTATTAGTGAGTTAATTTTTGTTAGTGAGTTAATTTTTGTCGCCAATCGTTTGTTTCTTGGCTGTTTCTTTAATATTTCTCCAGTAATAAGGTCATAAGGCTTTCTGTGGGTTGATGTTTATTTGAATATCTTTCTCAACTTCTTTGGAAGTAACAAGCATACATTTCAAGTTGTTCCATACTATGGATCCCTTCGTTAGGAGTGTATTGATTTTCATCTTATTGAAACGTCTTTTGTAGGTGGCCAGCGAAAATATCAGCTTTCTGTTTATTATCTCTTGTCCATCTAATAGGAGGAGAGTGGTTAGTTGCCTTCCAGTGCAAATAATCAGTTTCTTTGTCATATGTAAGCCCTACTAGGTATCTGTTAAATCATTCTTCTCTGTGATTTAGGAAATCTCTTTTCAGTCTTTGGGTATCCCTATTTAATATATTTTAATCTTCTGGTGATCTTGTCATCTGTCACTTCTTTCTTACCTTTTTTTCTGCTACCAGTTCTCTTAGATATACAGGGTAGTTTTTCCAGTTATTAATTTTCTTACTTTTGGTGTGTCCCTCCATGCAACTTGCTGTATTTCCACTATAAACTTTTCCAATTCTTCATCTAGCCGATTTTTCATTTTTAGTGTTATAGTCATTTAAATAGTGTTTGATAAATCCTCTTGATTTGATTTGTTTTCTGATTTGCTAGGGTCGGCTTTACTTCTTTTTGAATAATTTTATCATTTAGAGTGAAGATTACTTCAGAATGATCTAATTCCATATCAAAGTTTTCTTCTACTATCTTTTATTTAAAATATTTTCAATAAAATCTATATTTTTTTACAGATCTATAATGGACGTGGACCTGAATTTTAGATGAATTTTAACACACCAAATAAAAAACACCAAAGTAGATTTATTTAATTTATATTTATATTATTATTATTTATGTTCTGTGATAATGTTAGTTATATTTACACAGTGTGTCTATTTTATAATAATATCGTTCCAATATTTTTTTAATCTAAATTACTCTAAATGTTTTCTTTTTTTTATTGTTTCGACAGATGATAAATATTTATCTGCTAGATAGAACGACTAAGGGTCTGCTAATACTTCATTATTATTAGTATTTACATTAGTATTATGATTAAGAATTAATTGGAACCCTTACAAAGTAACGGGGCTATTTATATTCGATTATTAGCATTAATATTTATCATAATATTAATACAAATATAACTAGACCCTAATACTTCGTATTAATGTTTTTAAAACATTTTAGAATGTTTCAATTTGAATTTTTTGTGTTTCATTTGGCTCATGGAACGTTTGATTCCTCAAATAAAATAACACACTGTGATTTTTTAATTTTTAACCATTTAAAAAGTCAATAGTAGGTTTAATTATTATTAAATATACATCAAGTCTACTTTTAAACGGTTAAATTTTAAAATATTCTGGATTTCCTAATATATTGTATGATTATTGATGGATTTTATTAATATTAATGTACACTGTTTCATAATCTAATTTACTGATATAAAATAAAGTATAAACCAGGAAACTAAATTGTCTTTTATTTCCATAGGTATTTCTAAATTAGCGATTTTCTTGTGAAAATCCATATAATTTATTAATATTATTTACAGAACAGTAGGCAGAATTAAATTACAATAAAAACAAAAAAGATCGCAGCAAAAAATTATTAACAGCCTTGTTGTATATATGTAAAATAGTATATTATGTTACTAGGAGTAGAAGGCCAACATTATATGTTTAGCCCAGAATTTTGCATAGCTGAGGCGTTAGCCGAAGCTGTGCAAACTGGGCGAAACATATAATGGGCCTTCTAATCCGAGTGACATATACTATTTTTTCTTCAAGCATTTAAATAAAAGTATGGATAAAAATAATTAAAATAAAAAGGCAGACATTAATAGAATATCTGTAAAACTAAATAACAGTTTAAAAAAAATTATGTACCTACCTTAGTTGCTAAATATCTCTTGTTTGGTGCACTTTTAAGAAAGTTATCAAACTCCTGTTTAGAAAAAACGTTTGACTTCTTCGGTTTGTAATTATCACCTTTTCGTTTTAAGAAGGCAATTAATATTGAATAGTTTTCAATTTTTACATTATGTTTAATATTTAGTTCTGATTTCAGCATTGAATACTGCGACCACATTGTTGAATTTTTGAATTTTTCAGACAAATTAGTAAAATATGCGAAAAATATGCGATCAGAACATTTTCTGAATAAAAATGTACGTGATTTTCTTCACTCCATTTCACAAATTTTGTGTAAGCATAATCGTAAACTTTCTTCGATTTCGTAGGTATTAAGGTTTCTATCGAAGATTTGGCTATTTCTAGCAATTCGGGAGGTGTTGATTGCATTTCTTCTGATATTTTCTTTTTACTTGAAAAACACAGGTATAACGAACGGGTTAACACTATTTTTTTTATATTCTAAATCATACACTGACAAACGTCAAATTAAATAAGTATTAAAATGACAGTTCCAGCCTACTTGATTGCAACGTTCATAATAAGCCATTTAACATTACGTTTATGCTTTTTTATACTAGTACAAAAATGAAAAATATTTGTACTAGTATAAAAATAGGCTACTTCTACAACACGTATACCTTGATATAATGTAAACATTATTATACGCTTGAAGAAAAAGTATTTTGTTTCCAATGATGGAATAAACACTGTAGTTTTCCCCTCCAACGCTGAATTACAGATTAATTTGTCTAGAGTAAACCCGAATAATTTCGAAGTGCAGAAAATCAGAGTCTGCGCTTAGAAAACGCCTTAAACTCAGAAAAGACAAGGGCACCAAATTGTTTAATGGGGTTTACTTCATAACCTTTCGATACAGCGTCAAAAGGGCTCAGGTAACACCAGATGAAGATACGGGATATTCCTGGGGTCAAAATGTCCTTGTTAGAGACTTAAGCAGGTAAGAATAATATGTTTTAATTATTATTATAATAAAGAATTTACGAGTGCTGTAATATAAAAAATATAAACCAAATAGTTATAATATTAACAGGTTTATCACTTACAAAAACTTCTTTACAAGAAAAAAGGATATTTATATTTCAAAATTCCACCTCACTTTAAAAGAATTCTTAGTCAAAAAGTAATAAATAGAAATTGACGTGAATCGATTATTTATTTCACTGAAAATCGTACAACTGCCGGGTCCAAAGCTCAATTTAAATAAGATACTGTGTTTTCTTTATAAATATAACACGCAGATTTTAGAAAAAGTACCGGTCTTTATTTTTAGCTGGCTTTAATTTGTTGGTATTTTTAATATTGACAATTATTATAAAAGTTATCAACACAACGACTAGATTAAGGACATGTTCATCCAGTCAAAAAGAATTAGGTAGTATACAGGGTGTTTTTTAAACATGCGGCAAAAATCCAAGGGGTTGTTTTTTTGGACTATTCTAAGAATATTTTGTCCTTGGATGATTTTTTAAATTCCGTTTCGAGAAAACTATTTGTATTATTAATAGTCTAAATAAAAATAGGTACTACAATGTGTTAACCAAGAACATACAACTTTTTTAAAAATTCTTTATTTTTATTATTTTTTAACAATATTACAATTGCCCTGGTGTTTTTGAAAGAGTTCGGCAGTCAATGAGGAAAAGATTAGATGCTTGCATTCTTGCTGGAGGTAGTCATTTTCAACAGTTCTTCTAGATTAAGTAACATTTACATCTATTTTTTGGTAATAAAATGATGTTATTGTCTAAAATTTTGTTCGCCCTGTATCTCCTTAAAAAAACGGATTTTCAAAAATCATCAAAGGACAAAATAGTCTTATAATAGTCCAAGAAACAACCCCTTGAATTTTTTTGCCGCATAGTTGTACACACATTTTTAATAATTTTTACATTTGTTTATTTAATTAATAAATATAAGATTTTACTGGTTTTTATTGTTACTTTTATCAAATGATTTTATTATTTTTATCAAACAATATTTAACAATTAGATTTAGAATGGGAAAATCTTATGTGTATTTTAAATTATATTTCCTCTTTATTTGTTAACTTATAAGTAGTTTAGCTGGAAATTAGTCTCCTAAATTTGTTTTGCGTAATATTTTAAAATTTTGTAGTACTCATAATTTATCAAAATAAAACAAAAGTATATTTGTGACTTTCAAGTTGATTTTATCAAAACATATTCGCTTGATACCTTGGAATAATGCCAAAATATTTTACACATTAATAATAATGTTGCAAACTTTAAAATTCTGAACACAAACATTCGAAGTATTAACAAAAATTATGAAGAGTTCAGTTTAGCTCTAAATAGTTTAAACAGTGATTTAGATTTAATTATTCTCACAGAAACGAAATACGTATTGGATACAAATATTTTTAATATTTCGGGTTATAATAAGTTGTATAATAAAAGCACATATAATCAAAATGACGGTGTAGTTGTATTTGTCAAAAATTCTTTTCAGTATAGATACGAGATTTTTAAAATTTGTAATAATATAAAAGATATACAAATAAAATTGAATTTTGAAAATCGACAGGCCCTGATTACCGCTGTATACCGATCTCCAAATTCAAATACCCGTGAATTTAATACATACAGGGTTGGGCATAATTGGCGGAACACCCGATTTGTGGCTCAATTATGGATTGTATTGAAAATTAACCCAAATAAAGTTTTTTGTATATTTTATGTACTATTTAATGACGCTTGGGGATTTTCATTATCTGTCATATTTATCAAGATATGACGTCATCGGATGAAATTTTAAATGAATCACCCTATATTTATATTTTTTTTCAGATAGATCTTTTCTTTCTGAATCCATCAATATGGGGTTCGGGTGGTCTCTGATTTTCCTTATCATCAGAAAATAATAAAACAAAATGGTAAACGTTCTTTTAAATAATTAATGAATAACTATTCACAAAGTTGTCTGTGCCATCATAATGTACCAATATCAATTGTTTTGCCATGGTTTCACTTTTTGACATTAAAATGTAATATTGACATCTCGATATTTAATCACTGAGTTTTATTAATACGATTATTGTACATCTCTGACAGAAATACCTACCAATGTTTTTGTGTTACTGTTTACTTGGTTTTTATAATATTATAAAAACTATTGTCACCTTTTATTAATCTGTAGATTTTAATTCATTCTGGTTTATGGAGACAATCAAACAAGTTGAGTTTAATTGCAAGTCAATTCATTTCACCCAAACTAGCCCAATACGCGAAAATAAATAACTCTTAGCATTTGATACTATTGAGAATTTTTATTAATTTGAACTGAGTGAACGTGAAAGAATTACACTATTGATGATTATTGGGTTTGGAGACAGAAAGAGATCTCTGCAAGAAGCTTGTAATTTGTTCAATGAAACATTTCCTGACAGGATTTCCCCGATTTCTAAATCTACAGTATCCAGAAATTTGAGCAAGTTTAATGAAACAGGAAGTGTGAAAAATAATCCCAGATCTGGACGGAAGAAGACAGCCACTGATGAAGAAAATGCACTTAATGTGGTTCTAAGTGTACAGGAAGAACCAAAAACTTCAGTTCCAAAGCTTGCGTTAGACAATAATATGAGCGAGAGATCTGTAAGGAGGATTCTGAAAGTCAATAAATTTCATCCCTATAAAGTGCAATTACACCAGGAATTGAATGAAGATGACCCAGATAGGCGAATGCAATTCTGCCAGGTAATGATGGATGCCATTAATGGAAATAATATGTTGATGAACAGCATTGTTTTTTCCGACGAATCAACATTTTGTCTCAATGGATTTGTAAATAAACATAATTGCCGGTATTGGTCTGATCATAATCCTCACTGGATGGAAGAAGGTCACACCCAATATCCACAAAAGTTAAATGTTTGGGCTGGTATAGTTAGAGGAAGAATTATTGGACCATTCTTCATGAGAGGAACTCTGAACGGTGATCGTTATTTGCAACTACTTCAAGAGCAGATAGTTCCAGAGTTATATCCAAATCACAGAAATCACTTACAACTTTCTGATGAAATTTGGTTCCAGCAAGATGGTGCTCCACCTCATTTCGATGCTAGAGTGAGGCAGTACCTAAACACAATATTTCCACAGAGATGGGTGGGTCGAAGAGGACATATTGAGTGGCCGGCACGGTCACCGGATTTAACCCCACTGGATTTTTTTCTTTGGGGCCATTTGAAATCAGTAGTTTATAAGGACCTGCCACATTCGCTGGAAGAATTGGAATACAAAATAAGAATTGCTGTTCAAGAAATAACACCTGAAGTTTATCAAAATGCCTTAAGATCATTTGTTGATAGACTAGGATATTGTCAGGCAGTTGGAGGCTTTCACTTCGAACACTTACTTTGAGAGATTTGTAATACTTCGATTGATAATAATTATTATTTTTTATTAAATAAATGTTTACTTTCTATTTTGTTATGAACTCGGAGACCCTCAAACCTTACATTAATGGATTCAGATAGAAAAGATCTATCTGAAAAAAAATATAAATATAGGGTGATTCATTTAAAATTTCATCCGATGACGTCATATCTTGATAAATATGACAGATAATGAAAATCCCCAAGCGTCATTAAATAGTACATAAAATATACAAAAAACTTTATTTGGGTTAATTTTCAATACAATCCATAATTGAGCCACAAATCGGGTGTTCCGCCAATTATGCCCAACCCTGTATACACTATTGGAGAAAGATAAAGATTGTAATGACTATGATCTAAATATTTTCACTGGTGATATAAATATTGCCTTATTGAGAACTGATGATCAAGTCACCACAGAATATTTAAATATCTTGAGTGAATTTGGATATTCTTCTATGATAAATTTTAGCAAAACATGTATTGACCACAAATTTTTAAAAAATAAAGTAGATTATAACGATAATACTTTACCTATTGTAATAAAAACTAATATTACTAATCATTACATTAACATACTTCAAATAGTTTTGGACGCAGTTAAAAACATAGAAAAAAAAACGTACTGGTATAGACTTTATTTCACTTATTTCTCATATGTCTAAAGTATTTGAAAAAATAATTAAAAAACGTTTTTCGTTATATATAAAAAAATACCATATATTATCACAAAATCATTTTTTTTTAAGGAAAATACTTCTACCCAAGATGCTGTACTAGCTTTGACATAGACAATAATTAATTCCCTTAATAAAAGTAAACCATGTCTGTGCATATTCATAGACCTGTCAAATGCCTTCGATACTGTGAGTCATCAACTACTGTTACAATCACTAAATGATATCGGCATTAGAAATAATGTACTAAACCCCTTTAAATCTTACTGAAGCAATAGAACTCAGGTTGTAAAAAAAAGAGTCTTGGAATATGGAGTACCACAGGGGTCTGTATTAGGACCAACGTTATTTAATTTATTTTTATATTTAGGACAGGCGAGTCTTTGTATCTTGCTTAGTCTCGTTATTGCCTCTCTTTGTTATTTCTTTGGCCACCACACCAAAGCTATTTTTTGCATCTTGCCATCACTAGTGTTGTTCTTTACAAATGTTGAGTCGATATACTTTAGTTGGACGTTTTAATCCTATTCGTGAATGCAATTATGATAGATTTGTTGGAACTAATTTTATCAATTTTGTTACTATATTTAAATATTTAGATCCTTATTTGCCTTTATAATTTATTTAATATTAAAATTACATGAGAAATCTATTGAGCAAAACAAGATTTTGATTTAAGATTACATTTTATGCTACTAAATACATATTATGAGCCACAAACTGGGAGCCACTGATTCTTGGCAAAAATAGGTCAGTAAGACAGCTGTTCTTGCTAACGACCCTTCATCAAGTATACTAAAAAATATCCAGGTTGCGCAAAGATTTATTATTTTTTCTACACCCACATGGATATTATCTAATCTACGAAGATTCTACAAAATAAAAAATTTTGCTATTGCATTCAACTCAATGAATATATTTGATATCCATTCTATGTAGTGAGAACACTGCAAAACAATGAAATCCAATAATCACAGTTCATATTTTGGACATCCAACTACTATTATTTCTAAAATTGTCAGTATATTTTTAGTTATTGAGATTAAATATACAATAAAATGAGTTATTTTTGTGTAGAATCGATAAATAATAGCATTTTTATTTGGTCCAAATTTAAAAAAAAAAAAACATATGGAACAAATTTAATTACGAGTATTATAACTAAAATCTGAAAAATGGCGGTGGAGATGAGGATAGAGCATTTGTCTTCCACGCGAAAAGCTGGTCCGGGGACTAATTCAATTAATTTTTTTTATGTTTATTTTATTTTATAAATTAGTAAAATTTATAAATTATTTTAAAATTAGTTATTTTTTGGCAAATTTGTAGATTTTCGTTAGTGGGTCGTAGAAAGAATATACTGTACAACTCGAGTGGATTGTTCATATCGCACATAGACGATTTGAGCACTGCGCCTACGCCTTCGTGCGATATGGGCATCATATCCACCCTTGTTGCACAAACTACTATTTTAAAAACAATATTTAAAATTTGAGATTCACAAAAAATATTTAAAGTGTTTTTGATTTATGATAAAATTTAAATTTGAATTTTAAACATTAAACACCCTTAATTAAACTCTTTAAGGGTTCATTTTCCTATATTAAAATTTACCAATTAACGAGAGCTCTTTGGGATAGAGCCTTCTTACTGTTAAGGTTATTTGATTAGACCTTAAGGCAAAACCTACTTTAGTCACAGTTTATAGCTTAAAAGAATTAGTTCGCTCACTCGGACTAATTGGATGTTCCAAAATAACATCCACTCCAGGGATACAAATTCAGGATGCGCAGAAGACTGCTGTTTGAATATAGGCCGTTGTCATATATATTGTATTACGCATTCCAAACAAATGAACTGCCAGTGGGAAGATTTGATATATCCAAGGGTTGCGAAATACGATATATTCTGTTTACAATACGTAAAATCATAAATAATGGATTACATTTAAATATTTTATGTCAAACACAATAAAAATAAGATACATTTTTTCATAAATTGGCAGGCTTTGTGACTATTATTTCGAATAAAAAAACACGTTCAAGATGCAAGACTATGTCTCTACCCCCTTAGATATACCAGACCTTCTCACTGACAGCTATTGTTTGACAGGTCGTTGGAATGCTTAATTGGTAATAGTAAGAGAGCCCACTGCAAATTACGACTGCCATCTGATAACAAAATGAAATATGCTCCAAAGACATGTAACAACATTGTACTTTACCAAATTGCACCTGTGCCAATCTGTAATCCAGAGCAAAGTGGTTAAAAAAAAATTATTTTATATTCAAAAAATTACATAAAACATGACAGCGATAATGGTGTTTTCTCTGAAAATTACAATCCTAATTCATTGTGAACCTAGCTTTTAAACCCGAATTATTAATATTTTTACCTAACTTTGGCAGAGATATTCAATAATAATTATAAACTCTTGTTAGACAATTCTTTTAAATCATAATCATGGTAGTTTTTTTGTCGTTTCTATGACAACCTGTAAAAATGAATCGCACCAATAGGCATACAAATAAATTATTAAATCAGCAAAAATTGATTCATATTTTTAATGATTTTTACCTACTAATCGTGTGTAGATGTTTTTGTGCGATGTTAAGAGGAAGAAAATGTTTGCCGTTAACGATATATATCAAGATATATTTGAATATGTTATTATCTGGAAAACTTTAAGGGCAAACAAAATTAGCGTTGTCATGCCTTATGTGATTTTTTTAATATAAAATATTTTTTTTTAAGCACATTGCTCAGGTTTGGGATTGTCACAGGTGACATTCGGTAAAGTACAATGTTTTTACAAGCTTTTGGGGTATATTTTATTTCATTATCAGATGGCGGTAAAAATTTACAGTGGGCTCTTGGGCTATTATGATTTGATTATGTATGCGCCAGGGATACAAATCCGAGTTGCGCAATGTATAAACTGGAACATTGAGATCAAAAGTGCCGACTCAGAGTGAGCGAACTGATTCTTTTAAGCTATAAACTGTGCTTTAGTTTTGTACATTTTTTGACAGTAGTAAAGTTGACGTTTTTTAATATTTATATAGTTGTCAGTTCATTATTTCTATTTTATAATAATTATATAAAGAGTTCATTACGGTGGTGTATCGATATAGCTAAATAGTCCACTCGTAACAGTTACTATACTAACATCCTGTATTTAGAAATTTGCGCTACCTTAGAAATACAGAATCCCTGATTCGTTACTCGCGTTCCGACGCTTTTAAACTTCACGCGACGGCGTTGAAAGTGGCGTCGAATCATTCGTGATGGCATGACGTCTCTGTCAAGCTTGACATACATTTAATCAACAAATAAAGTTATAGTTTGAAACAGTGAAAAGCTGAAAGAAAACCATGAAGTTTGCAGAACATCTTTCGGCGCATATAACTCCTGAATGGAGGAAACAGTACATAAATTATGAGGTAAGTTGCAAGCAAAATCATTTTATTATTTTATATCTATGTGATTATCTGCGATGATAGGGTACCCGTATTTATATTGATGAAAACAGTGGTGTTGCATAGAGAACTAGGAGATAATAACAAGACTTTTTTTACTAAAAGTCCAAAATAATCGTTTTTTAGGGAGCAAAAAAATAATTTATCAGTTTATGCAGAAATGATCTATATTTGACTGTGATAATCTTGGTTTCTGTGATACTTTTGTAGAAAATCACCATTTGTGCCTAAATACAATAATAATTTGTCACTAACTAACTTAATTTGGGATGTTTGGACATGTGTTGTTTATGAAAAAAGTGTTTGTTAGTTCTGCAGTAAATCTAAATTTTCCCGAAAATTTCCACATTAAGGAATTCCTTTGGTAACATTATTATAAAGTCTAGATTATTTTGTTGCAAGGCTTATTGACGTACCAAACCTGCTGAAAATTACAAGGCGCGAGAAAAATGTTTATATTTTAACTTTAAAATTTCATTATATTCTTAGGTAGACGGGCGGATCTTTGATAGCCATCAGGCAACAATTTCCCCTCATCATGTTTAGATAAAACAAATAGAGAACACTATACGTACTCAACTCACTAGGCGACTGCCCGTTTTGTAAGCGGGTCTAAAAGACACCCTAAGTTTACAGTACTTCTCCCACAATGTGGTACCTGTCGTGACTCTATGCGGGAAAAAGTCGTCCACCCCTTTATACCCGAAGGAACCCAAGATTCGTTGAATAATATTTGAATGTCTCTATGGACACATTTGGGTGACCAATGATAGTGACATGCCACTCTTTATAAGTAAAAGTATTACAACCACAACGTATAAGTGATAAAAATCAATAAATTAAAATTTTTTTCAAATTAAATTAGTAAAATTTAACAAAAGTATCCAAAATATATTACCAAATACTTACCAGACGATAGCTCTACATGAAGTTGATAAAATGATATTCCTACACGGCGTTTCAAAAAGTAGTTCTAAACAACATCATCATTTCCAATCCAACTCTTATGTTTATCCTGATTTTTACCTACAAAAAAAAACAAAAAAAAAATATAAATTTAATTAATGTAATGTAATCCTTAATTATTACTATTAGATTGTTTTGATGTCCAGATAATCCAGATATATGTTTAATAAATATATTTTTTCTGCACCCACATGGGTATTAGCTTATCTACGCATAGATTACAAAACGAAAAAGTATACTATTGCCTTCAATTGAACGAATATATGTGATATCCATTCTAGGTGGTGAAAACATTGCAAAAAATGAAATCCACCAATCACCGTTCATATTTTGATCAACCGACTGCTACTATTTTTAATATTTTAAATAACTGACAATTCTGTGAAACTAATTATCAGTATATTTTTTAGTTATTGAGATTAAACATACATTAAAATGGGTTATTCTTGTGTAGAATCGATAAATAATAGCATTTCTGTTTTTATTTCGTTATAAATAATTTTTAATTTAATAAAACTATATGAAGTCAATTTAATTACGAGTATTAAAGCAACAAAAATAAAAGAATAGGTGGTCCTGTAGTTAGCGTTCTTGCCTTCCACACGGAAGATTTGAGTTCGTTTCTTGGATAGGGAAAAATTATTAAAAGTCATAAATTATTTTAAAATTAGTTATTTTGTCTTAATAACCTAAAATATTTTTTTTATTTGCAAATTTTCGATAGTGGGGTGTAGAAAAAATATACTGTACAGCTCAAGTGGATTGTCCACATTGCACTCAGACGATTGAGCACTCCGCCTACGGCGTCGTGCTCAAATTTCGTCTTCCTGCGATATGGCCATCATATCCACTCTTGTTTCACAAACTACTATTTTTAAATTATGCACAAGTTGTATTTAAACAACTTCTTGTGATATTTTTGTAATTTTATTAAAAAAAAGTATTTTATTATGGTATATAAAGTGTTTTATTATTTATTATTATAATGTAAACGAATCTTTGATATTTTGGTAAAAAATAGGTGAAACATCCCACTGTGCATCACTAGTATTTTTACTTATTATATTCTATATTGTGTATTTTTTGAAAATGAAGTGTTTTTTAGGAAATGAAGTCAATGCTTTATGCTGCTGTCGAACAAGCACCGTCTGCAGAACTAGTCGAACCCGAAATTTTAACAAGATATTTTGCAAAATTTGACGAGCAATTTTTCTCTTTTTGTGATAAGGAGTTGACAAAAATAAATACTTTTTATTCAGGTATATATTTTTATTATAAGTGTGACTTTTTAATAAATATGGGACATATGGGTCTTCCGAATTGTTAAATTAAATATAAGATTTCGAATCCAACTTGATCATGAATGATAACACCGGCACACAAAAATAACGGTGTCAGTACATTTGACTAAACCCACCTAGGGTTATGTATTTCGATGCTCTGATTCCGAATTTGACGTTCATTTAGCCCGAACACCCTCAAAATTTTGAAGAACTTGTTATTTTTCGAGATTATTTTTGCCATTTTTAGCAGTTTTTTACAACTTACTCCAAATTTTGAGGGTGTACGGACTAAACTGACTATAAATTCGGATTCAACGCATCGATATACATAACCTTAGGTGGGTCTAGTCAAATGTATTGACCACTTTTTTTTTTGGGTGCCGGTGCAATCAATATTTTGTGTGGGTAATTTTAAGATTTTATTTAAAAATCTTTAAAAATTTTAACAATAAATAAACATTACATTGTATTTTTCAGAAAAGTTAGCCGAAGCCACGAGACGATACGCAAATTTGAAAAGCGAATTAAGCGAAACGCAAGAATTTACATTTCAAAAAAGCAATTCCGTTAGAAAGAATTTACTGCATAAGAAAAATGTACCTGCTAGAAAACTCCAAGAGATCAAGTTAGCGTTTAGCGAATTCTATTTGAGTTTAATACTGATGCAAAATTATCAGAATCTAAATTTTACGGGTTTTAGGAAAATTTTAAAGAAACATGACAAGGTAAGGACAGAAAACGCATTTTATTGATTAAAAAATACATGTGTATTCACAAAAATAGTTTGAATTTATTCCTAGCCGTGCGTAATTGTCACGAACATTCACACAAAATGGTTGCGTATGGGAATTGATATGGCAACCCTGTTGGGCTAGTTGATTTGAAAAGGTCAATGATATAGATAGTTATATAGATTAATCATCCACATTTTTTAAAATAAACATAAGCTTATGCCTTGATGTAAAAATTTGGTAATAAGTTTTTACTATTTTTACTATTTTCAAAGGTTGAATAAAATTTGATTTCACCACACATTTTGCTAAACCAGTTCTGATTAATTAGCTCTTACGAGACAATATAGGCTAACAGAACATCTGGTTTCCTGTTTTCTGATACTTGTTTTTTACTACCTTTAGGGAGGTTTTTTTTATATGTCCCGTTTCTCAGAGTTTCTTCTCAATTTTGCTAACTGTGGATTGTGAAATTGATTCTCGGTTACGATATTGTTAAATAAATAACATACATCTTTCTGAGTCCTTGTTTTATCTTCACAATCAATCATTATTATAATTTCAATTCTTTTCGTCTCACTCAACTTCAAGTTGATACATAGCTAGGAAGGCTTTTTGAATACTTACGTGTACTATTATTATCATTACCATTAACCAATTAATAGGAAGTCAATTTGGTTCATTTTCAATGTACTAACGATGTTTATTGACACATTCGAATAAAATATAAGTAACATTTCCTTTCAGTTGTTGAGCACTGACTACGGAGCAAGATGGAGGGTAGAACACGTGGAAGGTTCATTCTTTTATTTAAATAAAGACATCGATCGACTTATTAATGAAACGGAAACGGCATTTACTCAAGAACTTGAAGGTGGAGACCGGCAAAGGGCGATGAAACGTTTGAGGGTACCACCTCTAGGTGAACATCAAAGTCCTTGGACGACTTTCAAAGTGGGTCTCTTTTCGGGAGCGTTTATCGTCCTGCTTATATCGGTGGTTCTAACAGGTGAATATAATAATTTGAACAATAATTATCGTTAGTTAGGTTATATTAAAACATTTAAGAATAGTTCAGGTACGACTAGGACAACTAAATTTGTGTCAGGTACCAAATTAAGGACGCCACAGCATTTCCGGATTTTAATAACATGATTTAAATTTTAGTTAATCCTTTCCTACGAAGATATAGCTACATTCTTTTTAACTCTTTAACCGACAAAAGAAGAATTTGCTCAAGCTGGCCCATCCTCATCAAGGATTGAGACTGCAGTCGAAGATGACTTTGATGAGCTTGATGTTGGGCAACTTTTAGGTTCGCTAATAAAAATTGGTTTTTAAAAAAATGTGAAAAACTTTACAAAAAGCGGAACTTTATTTTATGACTTTACTGTATAAGTTCAACTGTTAAAAAATTAGTTTTGTTGCCGCTAGATCTTGGACTTGCCGCGTCTGCATAATTTTACTTGTGTTCCCTATGATTGTGTTATCATAACTGGCATTAGATTCTTTATCATCTTCTGATGACGAAGAAGCTGACTCCATTTTGGAAAATTTAAAAGAAAGATGATTTTTGAGATTCAGTATGAAACAGATAAACAAGACAAATATTGTATTGGCCTTATCCAGAACATAGTAGATTACGAGTTAATCACCGTTAAGTTTCTCCGCCCCAATAGAAAAAAAGAAAATTATTTCATTTTTCCTCTCGTTGATGATGTCTGCGTAATAAACAAAGAATAAATTAAAAAATTGTTAGCACAGCCTGCGAAGAGGTGGCTACGAGTTTACCAAGAAGGATAACAAAAGAGCTTACTCAAATCAATATAAACGTTTTGAGATGCCGATCTAATAATTTACTAGGTAACGCACTAATCTTAAGTATTAAGGCCAAAAAAACATTCACAAACTTAATAGAAGAGAATAACATAACCTCAAATTTTCTCTCCTTACATCTTCGCTAAACTTGCCGTTACAAAACTCTGCATCCTGCTCAGTAGGACCAGTCGGTTCACCAAACAGTCCCATTTCATCTAAGGAGGCAGGTCGATAGCTTGCACTTGTGTCAGTATCTGAATCTTCCTTTTTAGATTTCTTAAAGTTTGTTTTTTTGTCTACTTTCTTTGTTTTATTTTTTCCTGCACTTCCTACTTTACTTAAATTTAGTTCTGCTTTTTCCACTTTCTTTTTCTTATTTTTTTCTGCCTCCTCTAGTTCTTGTTCATGCGGAGATCTTGTTATAATTGTAGATTTTGTTGCTTTACGCCCACGATTAAATACTGTTCGTTTCTTTGTAATTTTTGGTTCAAAATCAAAAGGTGTTATAATTTTTAAGTTACTTTCTTCTGATTTCTCTTGGAGTGAACATTTTAAAGACATAGACGAAGTAGATGGTCCTGGTTCCGATACAGGTGTGTTACCAGAGGTATCTGCTTCACTTTTTGCTTCTATTTCTTTGGAATCTGCAGCAAGGTAATCTGCATCGCTGAAAGCATTCCTGTTAAATTGAAAAAAGCCCCCCTCACTGAATCCCCCTGCCGCTATTTCTCCTGTTTGACACTTCTTATAAGCTCTTCCAAACAACTCCATTATGTCGTATTGTGTCAATGGTTTGTTGTTTTCAGGTAGCCACAGTCGAGCTTCTTCAGAGTAATACGTCTTCAGTGGGCTCATAAAAGCTCGATCTAAAGGTTGAACCTTATGGGCACAATGGGAAGGTAAAGATAGCAATCTTTCTTGCTAATTAAATGAGTTCAATGTTTTTTGTATGGCTGTAGTGGCCGTCCAAGATCAACAAAACTGGCGACTTTTCTGATCGATAAAATAATGTTGAAACCATTGTGTGAAAAAATAAGTTTTAATCCAGCCGGAAGGATGAACTCGACCTATGGAACCTAATGGAGCCCTCCTCATAAGCGCCTCAGTCATATTTTTTCGTGGAAATATACTCAGTGGGAGTACAAATATACCCGCGGGGCTCATGCATGCTACGACAGTCATCAATGAACCTCTCTCTGCTGATGTCATTGCAGCATGCTTTTTGCCTCGGCATGCTATGTTTACATTGAACAATGGACAGTCCTGTCTCATCCACATCAAATATTTTATCGGCTGTGAATTTTTTTCATCGTACACCTTGTCTATAAGATCATATAACTCATTCATCCGCTGTTTTGTTAAACCGTGAGCTCTGGCAAATGATGTGCCTGTTGGCTTACGCACAATCAAAGTATTTTTTTTAACTAAAAGGATTTGGAATATTATTTTTTACAGCCAGCTGATAAGCCAATTTCCTTAGACCATAAAATTTACTTTCCATGTCAAGGGCATAGTCAACTAACATGGACTCAAAATTTTTATCAAACACTGGTTTGCGGCCAATCATTTTAGAAACTAGTTTTTCTGTAGCGGTATCTTTCTCACCAATCAATCTGAACAATGTCGAGCGAGGTACGTTGCTTTTAAATAGCCCATTTTTTTTGTCACGAACTGTGACATGTACTTAACCCATTACATCATATATGAAGGACCTGCTATATAACAAAATTAGGTAATTTTTTACAGTAATGATCATTTAATATGTAGCATGTAAGTTACTTTGTTATGTAACAGGATATGCAAATGATACATATGTTATATGTTTGGGTTTGCTGAGCTATCGAATGCATAACTAACTGATGCCCATTTTGTCGAATTCAAACTTTATTTACAGAAAAACTCACCATACATAAAAAAAATACATCCTTAACCAATTTTTTCACAAATCTTTTTATACGCATTTTAAATGAGTATTTTGTGACTTTATATGAGGTTATAATTAGCAAAATAAGAGCACTTTACTCTTGAGTGCATTTTGATTTCCCTCGTATAAAGGCATTTATTTTAAATTTTATTTAATTTAGTATTTGATTTTAGACAAAGCACCAAATATTATTAAAAATTCATCTTATTAAGAAAACGGTAAAAAATGAGTTTCCCTGTATATATAATTTATATTTCTGTAAATTGTAATATATTTTCCTCTAAATTCAAGACAATTTTAAGATATGGCAACACGGCGTCGAAACTTTCGCTACTTTTGCTCCATCGGACACCTATAACTTAGGAACTGAACTAAAATTCAATATGAACGCAGCAAAATTTTCAATTCTACATGAAATCGTAATTTGTGCACAGTTTAAAAAGTACGCAACATTGATAATTAAAATTTGGCAAGAATATTCAAAAAATATGTAGAATGCTGTAAAGTAGTTCATTTGTGTTTTATCTTATACATTTGCGGTTTTCTGAGATTATTTATTTGATAAGAACTAAAATTTAATACTTAAAAATGCTTGAAATTCTATTTTCTGTTACAATTAATTATATAATGTAATAGATCATCCTGTATATAATGTCTTATAGCGGTATCCATGGAAATAGATTAGATGGACGTGTGATGAGAATTGTCATTGTATTAAACTTGATCTAATAAAAATATTTATTCTGAGTATTATTTAGAAGATTTCTAAACAATTCCTTACAATATGGCGCAGTCAGAGCAAAACGAACCAATTATCCAGATCAACTATGAAAAAGGAGATGAAGGTACCCAAGACAACATTATTTTTGGAAAAAATGAGTTGGATCAGCTAATGACAAAATGGATGACGTTTGCCACTTCAACTAAAGCAGATCCCATAAAAATTTCTCAATACGACGGTCAAGGTGAGAATCCTTCTTCTTGGCTCAGTTCGTATGAATATATCTGTTCATATAATAAATGGATTACTGATAATGAGAAAATTTTTAATTTGAGAAATCAGTTAAAAGGCATTGCATTAAAATGGTACGAAGATAAAATCCAAGATAGTATACTAAATCAATATACATGGGAAAATTGGAAACTTAGTTTTATCAAGATATTTGATGAAAATGTTGTTTTAAAATGGGAGAAAGCTTTGAATTATAAATATTATAATAGTAATATCCTGGAATACTTTTACGAAAAACAGAAATTAATTAAATGGGCAGATAATAACATTTCTGAACTTTCATTAGTGGCAATGATAATTCTGGGTCTGCCAGTTAATGTTCAGAAACAGTTAAGAGGAAAAATCATCAACTCCAAAGAAGAACTTCTTCAGCTGCTAAAATCCTTAATGATTGGTGAATATCCTGATAAACAGTGGCCAAGAAGAGATTTTCAAATGCAAGGTCAGCCAATAAGTACCAATAAAAAAGACATTAAATGTGAAACTAAAAATGTGTTTAATTCTAGTACTGTTGAATTTGAAGATCAAATAAATAATATTGAGATGTATTCTAGTTATTCACTAACAAGTGGAGATAATTTTGAGTATTTATTTTTAAATGGCCAGAAAGTGAAAGTACTGTTTGATACTGGATCAGATATTAATCTGATAGATGAGGAATTAGTTAATAAAAACAAATTTCCTATTCATGAAGTAAATATTTGCATAAGGAGCTTAGCTGGAATAACCAAATGTTTTTTTAGTGCTGAAGTAACTATTGAAATCAATAAACTGCCCACAACTTTTATGGCCGCAGTAGTGAAAGATTTGAATTTTGACATACTTCTAGGACGCCATTTACTAAATAAATTGAAAATATATAAACTGAATTTGAACTTAGAAAAAGAAATTGAATTTACAGAAGATAATATATCCAAAAGATTTCCGAATTTGCTAAAATATAATGATGCGAAACCATCAATCTTTGAGATAGATTTTAATTTAAAAGAAAATGCAAAAATTATTAAGCTGAAACCTTATCGATATTCAGAAAACAAAAGAACATGGATAAAAAATAAGGTTAATGAGTTGCTTAAAAACAAAATAATTACAAAGTCAATATCTCCTTTTGCTTCTCCATGTGTTTTGAACACAAAATCTAATGGGGATTTTCGCCTGTGTATTGATTATAGGAAAATTAATGAGGAAACTGAATTAGATCCATTCCCATTTCCAATCGGTGATGAAATCATTCAAAAATTCGGTGGATGTAAATTTTTCTCAAAATTTGATCTGAAGGATGGTTTTTGGAATATAAGTATATCTAAATTAACGCAGAAGTATACGGCGTTTGTAACAGAAGATGGGCATTATGAATTCACAAGGCTTCCTTTTGGATGGAAAAACTCAAGTGCACATTTTCAAAGAATAATGCAGGAAGCTTTAGGTGAACTACTCGATAAGAATGTAGTAGTCTTCATCGATGACATAATGTGTGGAGGTTTCACTTATGACGAGTGTGCTAAGCTTTCGACAGAAGTTATGGAAAAACTTAATAGATACAACTTTAAAATAAATCTAACGAAATGTAAATTTTGTGTTCCCAAAATTGTGTTTCTTGGTAGGGAAATTGATGGTGATATCAAGAAGATGAAAAATGAATCTATTGAAAAGGTAAAAAATATGAAAAAACCCTATGATTTAAAATCTTTGCAGTGTTTTATTGGATTAACAAACCATTTTAGGCATTTTATAAAAGACTATGCGAAAATTGTACGACCACTTGACAGATTAAAATGTAAAAATACGAAATTTATTTGGACTGATGAATGTGAAAAATCTTTTATAACATTGATAGAATTGATAACATCAGAACCAATTCTAAGAATACCAGATCCTAGGTTAAAATTTGAGCTTAGTACTGATAGTTCTTATTTTGGTTGTGGGGCTATTCTATACCAAAGAGATGAGGAACAGATAAAAAATAAACAACTTAGAGTAATTTCCTACTATTCCTACACCTTTAATAAACATGAACAAAATTATTCTGTTACAGAAAAAGAATGTCTTGCGGTTGTAAAAGCAGTAAAACATTTTAGAACTTTGTTGGAATCAAGAAAATTTGTAGTACATACTGATCATCGAGCAGTAAAATATATTTTGTCAACAGGTGCTTTAAGAGATAGGTTAGCCCGATGGCAAATATTTTTAAGCAGTTTCGATATGATAGTGAACCACAAACCCTGCAAAGAACTAGAAGACAGTGATGCAATTTCCAGATTGTGCGTGGATTTTCCTGAAAAGGTGAAGGAAACATTTTGGTGTAATTTGAATATACACGATTTGGAAAAACAAGAGGATGGAAGGTTTTTTGTAAAGAATGCAGATATAAAGACAGACATTTTACAATCTTACCACGATGATCCTGATTCTGGAGGCCATGATGGATATTACAAAACATACTATAAGATAAGTAAGCGGTTTGTTTGGAAAGGATTAAGTAAGGATATTAAATACTACATAAAAACTTGTGAAATATGTCAAAAAGTAAAATTTAAATATTATCCCAAACCAAATTATATGATGTCTTATAGCGGTATCCAGGGAAATAGATTAATTAGATGGACGTGTGATGAGAATTGTCATTGTATTAAACTTGATCTAATAAAAATATTTATTCTGAGTATTATTTAGAAGATTTCTAAACAATTCCTTACATATAACACTGATTTGCGTATATTTATATTTTTGTAGGTGTTTTTCACGACAGACCAGACTGGATTATAGTCATAAGACTCTACAGAGGTCCGTTTCTTATAGTAGAATTTCTATTCCTATGGGGCATAAATATATACGGATGGAGATCGTCTGGTGTCAACCACGTCTTGATATTCGAAATGGACCCGAGAAACCATCTATCAGAACAGCACATCATTGAAATGGCCGCCATTTTCGGAGTACTATGGTCAATTTCTGTTTTGACGTTTCTATACAGTGATCAATTAAGCATACCAGCTTATGCTAACCCGTTGGCGCTTATGATAGTTATGTTTTTGTTTATATTCAATCCGACGAAAACTTTTAGACATGAAGCGAGATTTTGGGCATTACGAGTTATGGTATGTATATTAAAAAAATATAAAATATTTGGATTAATGTCAATGTAAAATAATTATTTAAAAAAAAAACAATAAGTATGGGAGGGATTATGACTTCAGTATTGTATGTATTATAAGCCTATTATGAATGTTTAGCAAGAGTGGTATTCGTGTAGATTACATAACGAATCAAATTAAAATTATTAAGTTACTTACATTTTTATTAATTTCTAAACCATTAGATATTATTTATTGTGAATGTCAATACTATATGATTTTAGAATTTTCGAAATAATTATTTTGCAAATTTATTTTTAGGGCAAAGTATTCATGGCTCCATTCTGTTACGTATCGTTCGCTGATTTTTGGGTAGCAGATCAGTTGAATAGCCTGATTACACTTTTTACCGATATGCAGTACTTCCTTTGCTTTTATTTAACCAATCCCGGCTGGTCACTTGGTGTAGGTTTGTATAATATATAGTAATATTTTAGAACAGACATAATTTATATTTGAATTGTTCTTAGTTTTCCCATTATAACAATGTAACATATCCAGTGGCGTAGTCAGAAATTTTTCATGGGAGGGGTTTCTGAGTACTATGGGGAATTCACAAACAGATAACGGGATCTATTCTGTAACAATTCATTTATATTTAACGGCCTTTAAAAATATTGGTGGCCTTAAATATATTTTTTTTTATTCGTTAATTTACTTCTGTCATTATTTAAACAGATTTCTTTAAGGTAGTCCTCTAATGTATTTTAAAGATCCGTTTAAAGAAGAAAATAGTCTGGCAAAAAGGTATCGATATGTGTTAAAAAATGACATTTTTTATCATATAGGTACTCAAGTTAACCTCTTTATGATCCACCCCGTATAAATAAGTTATAGTAAAAATAAAAAACGATATATTTTATTATTCAATCAGTACATGGCCAACACAAAAAGTTCCCTAATTATAATAATTATAATTTCCAAAACGAAAGTTTTATTTTAATGGCAAATTAAGACAACTTTGGATTTAATAAAGCCTACACTAAAGCTAACTCGAAAAGCTAAAGAGTGTCTTGAAAAGCATAATAACATTCTTAAAATTATAATTAACAAAGATAATCTAATAAAATAATATAAAACAGTCTATTATATTTACATTATATAAGTATATACCATATTTTGCCACTTCTATGAGAATTTACAAATTTGAATAAATGTTTTGGTCTACCGAATTCACAATAAAATCTACAGACATGTTAATTTTTCTGTTGTAATCAACATTTCCATTCGAATTTTGTTAGTTAAATAAACAAATGTTGCATTGTAAATTATAAGAAAAGTATGACGTCTCGCCATTTCAGTGATATACAAAGGACCCCGCAATAATCTTATGGAAATTGGGTTTCTGTCAAATTGTCTGAATTTTTGATATGTTGTTGATTTTGTCATCCTAAACAAAAGTCTCCATGGGCACAAAGTGCCAAAATGAATATTTTGGCAGCTACGGAGCTGCCAAAGCTCCCCTGACCCGTTGCAAAACTATTCATTTTCAATACTATTTACAGATGTCAAAAGCATATTTTAATTATTCTAATATATAGCGTAATGTTTTTGAGGTCGCTGAATTTAATTCTCATGTCAGATTGGACAAATTGACAGTTGACAGCTGTCAATTGACTGTCAACGAGGAATATAAAAGTACAGTTCATCAAATTTCTAGAGGCTTTCGACGGCTAGACAGAGAAAGCACTACTGACAGGCACCCCGACGGATTTACGCAATGAAAGTACACTCTGCGCATCAAGTATTTCACTATTACATTCAGACGTAAATGTCAGATGTAAATTTCGCTAAAACATTTCTTTTATTTTCGTTTGTGTTTTTTGCTCATTAAAGTTTAATAGAACCTAAGTATGGAGTTTAATAGCAAATTAAGAGGTCGCGTGATTAACAGTCAATCTCGCGAAATAATAGCCAATGTTATAGAGTTTATGAGGAGAGAAGGAAACTTTAATTCACCTTCAATACCATTTAAAAATGTAAATGATCGTGTTGCTGCAGCCACAGGAGTATCTAAAAACACTGTCGTCCGCATTTCTGGAGAGAAAAAAAGAATCGATAACCGTGAGATATCGGAATTTTCATCACCAAGAAAAACCATTAAAAAACCAAAAACAGTTAATGATATAGATGAAGCTGCACAAGAATCAAATTTTATTTTTTTATTATTAGATAGCTATTTTTGTTTTTGAGTTGTGTTCATTTACAGGCTCAATTTTTTTCCGTTTCTCCTTTTTGATTTTATATGGGGTTTCAAGTTGTTTTTGACTTATTTCGACGTAAATCACAACAACACACTTTTTTAATAAAGCAAAAAAGTGTTAAGAGGTATATGTACGTGTAAACTACAATTACAAAAAATTGATATGAAACCCATGAAACCACCAACAAAAATGTAAAGCTAGCTTCCGTACTAGAACATGGTGTCATTCGTCGAGATAATTTATCGTTTTGTTTAATAGATCAAGAAATGTAAATATTCCCCTGTTATTTTTTATAAAATTATAAGAGAAATAATTTTTTTTCTAAATATGTAGTATAGTTTATTATTTTGTAGAAAAACAAAATTTCGAAAATTTTAGTAATGTTTCAGAAACAACCGTTATTAATAATAGGTACCATTTTCCTTAATAAGGTAGAAATAAAATATAAACTATTTCCACGATTTACAAAGGCCTACAAAAAAATTATAGGTATTTTCCGCTATCCTATAAAATTTATATTTTCTGACTCAATTTCAAAAGGTTGAAGGAATTCCAAAACACCTTTTATGGCATAATAATTATTTTCATTCTACATACTATCTTTAGCTGCTTTTAAAAACGTTCTAAGAAAGTCCAATCAGACCAATTTAATCCCTAAACTATTCCACACTTTTAAAATTTAATTACCTAAAAATATTAAAAACTATTTAAAATAACTTGTTTAGCAGACTGTACAATAGCTATCTTAGTCACACGTAGCGCGTTCTCTGTCTGGGCGTCGAACACCTCTAGAAATTTGATGAACTGTAAATATCCTCTTTTCACATTGAGAGTTTGGGTTTTTGAGGTAGCTGAATTCAGTTCTCATGTCAGATTGGACAAATTAACCGTTGACAGCTGTCTATTCACGGTAAACGAGGAATATAAAAGTAAATATCCTCTTTTCACATTGAGAGTTTTAGTTTTTGAGGTCGCTGAATTCAATTCTCATGTCAGATTGGACAAATTGACAGTTGACAACTGTCAACGACCTCAAAAACCCCAACTTTCAATGTGAAAAGAGGATATTTACTTTTATCTTCCTCGTTCCCCGTGAATTGACAGCTGTCAACGGCCAATTTGTTCAATGAGGGTTGAATCCAGTGACCTCAAAAACATTACCCTATATATTAGAATAATCAAAATATGCTGTAAATAGTATTGAAAATGAATAGTTTTGCAATGGGTCAGGGGAGCTTTGGCAGCTCCGTAGCTGCCAAAATATTCATTTTTGCACTTTGTGCCCATGGAGACTTTTGTTCAGAATGATAAAATCTACAACATATCAAAAATTCAGACAATTTGACAGAAACCCAATTTCCATAAGATTATTGCGGGGTCCTTCGGTTTAGCATCTAAAAGGATTTTAGAAAGTATACTATACTTTGCAACATGTTATTATTATATTTTTTTCTACGATCACTATCCAAAGTAGGCTTTTGCGATTAGAAATTCAACCGCAAAGTTGACGTTTTCCGCGAAATGACATTAAGTGACAGTTTCGTCGCTCACCGAGCGGAAAACTTGACATCTTTGTTGCTCGCCTAATTTAAATTAGCTATAATATAAACTCCTGGACAAAATTAACGCACCAGTTAATGCACCACTTATATTTTGCTCACTTATATTTTGCTCGATAATCTTTCTGTATTGATAATTTACTGTACGACAAGTAGGCCATGGACCTTGTTTGACAGTGACAGTTGTTTTTTAAGCTAGCTAGTGTCACGGAATACCTTGTTTTGACAGTAATTTGTATTAAACCTCGTTTTAGACTAAAACTGTGTTAACATTTTCTTACAAAGTGCTGATTGAAGCAAAATTTCTGTTAGAAGCAAGCTGTTGATTGTAATTAATTTTATGACATGCATATTTGGAAGTTCATTTGGGAGAATATCAAGTGAAAAAAATGAACCGTCAAAGAAATCTGTCACTGGAGGAGGCAGTGCGAGCATCGACTATCCTGAATGAAGGATAATTAATGCGATATGTTGCTGGTTTGTTAGGAAGACATCATTCCAGCATCAGTCGCATAGTGAGGCGACATAATGAAACGGATTAGTACCATCGAAGACCAGGACAAGGGCGAAAACGTTACACTAATCAAATTGATGATCGTTTTTTGAGACAAAGTGATCTTAGAGAAAAAAGAGTAAATAGCAATCTGCTTAAAAATGAATTAGCAGATGTTCGAAATATCGCTATATCGTCTCGAATGGTTAGAAGACGTTTACATGAAGCAGGATTAAGCGACAGAAGACCAGCCAAAAACCCTTGCTTACCAGAGAACAGAAAGTTCAGAGATTAAATTTTGCAAGACTACATCAGAATTGGACCATCAATGATTGGAAACGGGTTCTGTTCTCCGATGAAACTAGAGTTAGCCTTAAAGCTTCAGATGGACGTGAGCGTGTCTGGCGAAGACAAGGAGAAAGGTTTGCCAGCTGTAATATCTCTCCTAAAGTGCCTTTTGGTGGTGGCTCTAAAATGTTTTGGGGAGGAATTTGCTTCGATGCTCGTACAGAATTGGTCCCTATACGTACGAGGTCTATGAATGCCCAATATTACTTAGACAACATTATTGTCGAACATGTAATGCCTTTTGCTCCGTTTGTTGGGCCCAATTTTTATTCATGCAGGACAACGCTAGACAGGTTATTGGTTACTTACATGATGTTAATATTCCTTTATTAGAGTGGCCACCTAATAGTCCGGATATGAATCCTATAGAACATCTATGGGACTATCTCAAAAAGAGAATTCGAAGTCATAGACCCCCTGTTTCTAGTCATAACCAACTCATAGAGGTCGCTATTGAAGAATGGGAGAATATACCGCAAGCTTTTGTTGAACATTTGATATCAAGCATGCCGCGACGCATGAATACAGTGATAAGAAATAGAAGAGGACCTACGCGGTATTAGGGTTGATCCAGATGCATTTATTCTCTTTTATCAATTTGGTGTTATGCTAGCTTAATTATGCATTTCCAGCAAAAACAAATTTTTATGGAAAAAAATAAGGCAAATTAAAGGTCATATTCGACTAATTTTTAGGTGTTCATCATTATTTTAATGTAACTATGTGTTATGTTGTGTTTATATTGTAAATATTTAGATTAATTAAAGTGGTGCGTTAATTTTGTCCAGGAGTTTATTACTACATTTTAATAAATGACTTTGAATAATAACTTCCTGGGAACACATAAAATAACCAAAATTTCACTAAAAATGGTGCTGGACGCTGGCCCCTTCTTGCAGCAAGCTTTAAATTGTAACGTCGAGTGTAGACTATCAATTAAATTGGTAGGTCTAATTTTTATTTTAAGTATTTGTATCTTAATTTCCAGATGCTGATTACTGTATAGCCAACTTTTTGACTTTAAGAGCTTTTGTAGCATGTCTTCCTCCATGGTTCAGATTCGCCCAATGTTTGAGACGATACAGGGATACAAAAGAGAAGTTCCCTCATATTGCAAATGCTGTTAAATATGGAACGTCGTTTTTTGTTGTAATATTTTCTTTTTTGAACAAAGCATTTGATGGTAAGCTTTTAATTACTAGTATGATAAACATTTGTTTGAAGTTCTTCTTCATGAAAATAACTTATTTATTTTTTTTTTTTAAGAAAAATTTGTATCTGGAGTTCATGAAAATTACTTATTTTTTTATTTTTTTAGAAAAATTTGTATCTGGAGAAAATCCATTTTTTTATTTATGGATTGGATCGTCCTTGATCAGCTCCTGTTATGCATACACGTGGGATATCAAGCTTGATTGGGGACTATTTGATGCTAAAGCCGGTGATAACAAGTTTCTTCGAGAAGAAATTGTATATTCCTCTACGGTAAGTGCGTTTCTTTATTTTTCATTAACATATAGATCAACAAGTTTAGTACGTACCCACTGGGTCAGAGCAGTATCTACCCAGAACCCAACGTTAACTTTTATAATAAAATTATAAAATATGTCACTGTAATCTAAGTTTGGATATATTTGATAGATATCTGCTACATTGACATCCTTTAACCACTGTCCAATTAATTGGATGCTGGTATATTTTGATACCTTAAGCAGAGAATTACTTTTAGCCAAACTGAGTTATTATGGTTATTCTGCAGGATTGTTAAAACTATTAAAGAATTAATTACCTATCGCATAGATGCCAATATGTGACTAATGATTGACAAAGGTGTGTCACAGGGCTCAATTCTTGGACCTCTTTTGTATTTTATATATACAATGGATCTTAAAAATAATGTTGTGAACTGTACAATAGATCAATTTGCTGATGATACTCAAATTTACAAGAGTTTCTTAGTTAATGAACTGGGTAATGCTCGCTTGGAGATAAATCAAACTCTGTCTAATATATTCGAGAATTCAGTTAAACATGGACTAAAAATAAATCCTGCAAAAACTCAAACAATATGCTTTAAGTTATAATAGATAATTTGAATATCGAAATTGATAATGTGGTAGTTAAGCCATGTGACTTAGTCAAAAGTTTTGGAATCTATATCGACACTAAATTGAGATTTAAGGAACAAGTTAGATCCATTGTCCAAAAATGTTATTGCTCTTTAAAAAATCTATATCGAAGCAGATCTTTTTTGAATGCATCTCTAAAAATACAACTCTGTGAGACGTTAATATTAAGTCATACCAATTATGCTGATTTTGTTTATGGGCCATGTTTAGATGTAGACTCGTCGGCGAGGCTACAGAGAATTCAAAACTCGTGTAATAATGTAATTAACATTTTGCAAGAAATTGCTGTACAGTTGTAATTTTTTATATTTTTAATAAGTTGATTTCCTTATGTGGTTAAAAACGTATTTATATTTTTTCAGCGATTTTATTACTTCGCTATAGTTGAAGATTTCGTCTTGAGATTCGGATGGGCATTTTTGATATCGATGACTGAAATGGGATATGCACTAGAACATTCGATGGTCACTGTATTAGCTCCTCTTGAAGTATTCAGGTAAAAAAAAACATTTGTACTTACATTATTTTACTGAGCCCGCATTTTTTACATTGATTTTGTAATATTTTATTTAATTATCCTACTGACTGCGCCCATTAAATAAAATATTCCAAAAAACAGATTTTTGAAAACAAATTTTACAATTTCTAACGTTGGATTATTTAATTTAATTTGCCTGATCCAGATTTACTCTGTCCACAATAAATACAAAAAATGTGGGGTCAAATGGTATTATTTTTAAAATGCGTGTAATACATTTGACTTGCAGACGATTCATTTGGAATTATTTCCGTTTGGAAAACGAACATCTAAATAACTGCGGTAAATTCAGAGCGGTGAGAGATATATCAGTAGCTCCTTTGGATACATCAGATCAAATGTTAATAGTAAGAATGATGGACGAACCGGATGGTGTTATAAATAGAAGAAAGAAGAAAAATGCTAATAAGAAGCAAACATCGGCTACTAGATTGATAACGGAAGGGGAATCGACTGATGATATGGATAATTGATTGTTATTGGTATAAAAACTTATTCTTTCGTTTTTAATGTAAAAAAAGTTAATTTTATGTTTATTTAAATAAATTTATATATTTTAATACCTATGGATGTACCTGCACTTATTTTTTTTAATGAATGTTTTGTTAATAAAAATAATAAAATCTGTGCTCATATTTTATTAAAACCTGTGACAATGATACCAGAGCCACGTTAATTTCTTACTTTTAAACCGATTTGAAATAAATTTGTTGAAATTACTAGGGTACCCTCTTTCTGAAATCATTCCTATTATTAGAGCAAAATTTGGAATGCATGTGCGATCGCCTATAGTTGTTCACTCTGATACAGGCAAAGAAGGTCCGACAGTTTTATATTGCCTAATCTGTATACGATATTTGTACCGAAACATTGCGCATATGGATTAAAAAAATTGGTTTTAATTACAAAACTATTGAAAAGCGGTGTTCAATAAAGGAAACACAAAGAATAATAAATTTGCGAAATTATTACTTGAGTAGAAGGTAAGACGCTTCAGCACAAATTTTCGATTTTTCACAAGATCTGGGGAAATTTGTGAATGTGGCAACGCCGCAATACATGGAGTAGATGGTAGGTATTTTTACATTTCCCCAGACTTCAAGCGATTTTGTAGCCATAAAAGGCACAGAAAAAAGCAACGTCGCATTTTGTACGACGCTTCGATCGAGAGAACAATATCAAGATGGATGCTGGACATATGTAAACGGGCGGAGGAGGGGGCGAAAGAGATCATAAGATGGTCCTTAGGCCCGTTGACATACATCCAGCGTCCATTTTGATATTGCTCTTATTTTTCTAAGGGATCTCTCGATCGAAGCGGCGTACCAAAATGCAACGCTGCCTTTTTCTGTGGCTTTTATGGCTACAAAAGCGCTCGAAATCTGGTGAAATGTAAAAATACCTATCATCTATTGCGACGTTGCCACATTTACAAATTTCCCCAAATCCTGTGAAAAATACTGTACTACTTACTTGGAATAAATTAAAAATTTTAGAAATCAATATAAAACAATTTATTATTTCAATAACACTTGGTATGACACTAAATGATACTTCTAAAAAAAGCTGGACCAATAACTTCTAACGTTGTCCAGTAAATGTTCCTGTAAATATCTACCTGGTTCTGCACTGTCCACACTAACCTCTTTGATTATTCATATCTTTTATGACGGAATATTTCTAAATTTCTTAAGAACTACTATTATAGGTAATACCCATCCATAAAAGCGGTAATAAGGAAGATTCTTTCAACTTTAGAACCCTTTTTCTTATTCCCACATTAGGTAAAATAATTGAAAAGCTGATAAAAACTCGTCTAATAAGTTTTTTAACTCCAACAACATAAGCAGTAAACAGTTTGGTTTTAAGAGCAAATCTAATATATCAGATGCCATATTTAATTGCCTAGAGAGAACATACAATAATATTAATATAGGTGAGAAGGTGGCAAAGATATTCTGTGACCTAACTAAAGCATTCGATTGTGTAAATCACGGAGTACTGTTACAAACACTTTCCTATTATGAAGTCAGAAATGGGGCTCTGAAGTGGATTGAATCATACCTTATAGGAAGAAATCAATTCACTCTTCCAGTATAATGAATCTAACCTGGGGTACACCCCGAGGGTCGGTGATAGGTTCCTACCTTTTCCTAGTCTATACTAATAATTTATTACACCTTGACATTTCTGTTTACTTAGCTTTTTTTGCAGACGCTACTGTCCTATGGCATTGCCAGGATGTAGATACTCTACACAATAGTGTTGCAACTGATATCCAGAAAATTAGGAATGTTCTTCTTTTAAATATTAATCCAAATAACGTCAAAATAATTGACAATGCATCGTACCACTCGAGATTGGAAGAAAAAATTCCAACAAAGTTTTGGAATAAAAAGCCAATTAAAAAATTTTTAATTGCCCATGACTTGTATTTTCAAGAGAATTGTACAAAAGAATAACTACCTAAAGTATTTGCTACTAAGACATTTCCTAAAAGGTACATTATAAACGAAATGGCTAAAGAAAAAGGACATGAAGTTTTAAGGTTAACTCCATATTTTAGGGTTTTTAATCCAATCAAACTGATTAGCAAAAAAATAATTATATGTATACTGTATGCATATGTATGTCCAGCAATAACTCATGTTTCATTTAAATAAAATAACTGTTTATGCTGATTCCTTGCGTCCGCTATTTTCCTTAAATAATCATGTCTTCACGCAATGATTTGGTCTTTTTCTGTTCAAAAGCTGTGTCTGTCACATTTTTTGCAACGAAAATTTAATTCTTCTAATAATTTTTGCAAATGAAAATATGACATTTGAATGTAATTTTTTAAATGTGGAGATTTCATAATTTCATTTCGAAAGGAAAAAAGAATAGCATTTGCTTTACCCAAATTTCAATAAAGGTTATTAACCTCCATCCCTACAAATCTCCTGATCTTATCAGTCTGTACCTTCTCTATCTCATCTATTCTACCAATTACCTGTTCCCTAATATCTTTCTTATTCTGTTCCAACTTCCTATCTCTTTCAACTTTTAACGATCCTATCTCCTCCTGCCTTAGCTCAGTTTTAGTATTAACTAACCTACCAATATCTTCTACCTTACTACTAATCTCTTCTACTAACATATCCATCTTTTTACTTAAATTTTCCCCATCTTATTTCATCTTGATTCCTCCTTATTTTCCCTAATCTCCTTCATCATATCTTCCCTATTTTCCTTTATCTTCTTTCTCTGGTATTTCCTTTAACTGTGCTTTACCACCTGTTACCTCCTCAATTGTCTATACCTACCTACCTACCTACCTATCTACCTACCTACCTACCTACCTACCTACCTACCTACCTACCTACAGATCAATGGCAGACAAATGAATGGTCTTACCAAATTTGTAATGTTCTTGTAGTCTGTGCGTAGATAAGCTAATATCTATGTGGGTGTAGAAATGAATTACTTTTTTATTGAATTTTAAACAATTAAGGGGTTATTTTTAACAGACACGTTATTTGTAAACAGGTTGTTATTTCTGTGTTTATAAAATAACAGACCTGTTAAAAATAACACAGGTTGTCAATCATAACCCCCTTAATATGTGTTTTGTTTATATCCTGAAACAGTACTTCTGCACAAATAAGGAGTATCACCATTGAATTATGCATTTCCATATTAAAAATTTCAATTGAGTACGCTTCTCAGAATAAAAAGGCCTTTAAATACGCTTAAACTTAGATTACGTCCAATTAACTCTCTATTATTATTTCCCCTGTAACCAAATATGGAATGAAATAGAAATTAAATCAGATATACTCATACGATATTGCAGTTCGCATAAAAGGATTCTTATGTTTTTTTTATCTTTTACAAAACGTAATGTAACATGAACATGTTATCAGATTTAAAATCCAATTTGCATGTGGCACTGATTTATCAACTACATATACGAAGATACTGTTCATAATGCAACTGTTAAGAAGTATATTTTATGGTTTTTCTATTATTTCTCTTCTTTTAAAAGGAACATTAGCTAATAAATATGAAATAGTTTCTTGTTTAAAAGATATATTTGTAAACCATTTAATTTTAGGTGATAATAATCCATTAACCCATCTGTCAAATAAATATCAGCAAAATATAATGATCACGTTTGTGATTAGAGATAATAATCATTCACTAATATCTGGAATAGAAAGTATGGTTATAGAGCAATGCGTAAATAGTTCAAAATGGTTTTCTTTTACTGTTTTATCAATAGATCAACCCCAAGCCATTAGACGTCGTCAAACGAAGTATAAGTCAAAGTTTTACGTTGTTCTTCTTAGAAACCATTATAATTTCGATAAAGCGCTGGATGTAATACAAAATGCTCCAACTTATAATCCAAATGCGTTTTTCATTATATACATTGAAGATAACACCATAGGTAATACTTTTATTGCGAAAAATATAGTAATGTCGATGAGAGCTAGATACTTGATTTATGGAGCTGTTTTAGTAAAACAGAAAGATATTTATAATGTATACCAGCTCAGCTTCGAAACCAAACCAATGCATATTTGTGCTGCACATCCAAAATTACGATTAATTGACAAATGTATTAATGGTGAGTATTAAACTTGAGAAATAAATTATTAAGATGTTATGAAATACACATTAGAATAGATAGGTCTATACTCCAATATCACAGAGGCTCCAAATCCTACATAATTTTAGAATAGCTAAAATTTTGATGTTAAATAATATAATCTATAGTTAACCTTTATCGTGTATGGGAGGATGTTTAGACCTTTGAATTATTTTAGCAGCTTATAAAAGGTCTTAAAATAGTACCCCAAGTAACATATATAAAATTAATATTAAAAATAAGAAATAATTTCCACGAATACCAAAATTACTAGTAATGTTTTTCTGCTCAAAGCATGATGGCCATTCATTAGGTTTATACAGGGTGTTTATTAAGTACTTGTACAAACTTTAAATAGTGAATCTTTGACTAATTTTAAGGCAAAAAGTTCATATGAACACGTGTCCTAAACCTCTTAACTTTTGTGCTACAGGGTGGTAAAGTTTTCAGAAAAAAATCTATTTTTTCCAATAACTTTTCAGTTTGGTTTTACGGTATGTTTTGTCCATTCATTTAGATTTCCTTGTCTGCTTGATGTAACCTCTTCTCAAACAGCATAGGTTGGTTTAAACACTTTCTTAAAAACTACATATTATCAACATTTTAGCCATTCTAATATAGCGTAGGTCTAGAGCAGTGGTCGCCAACCTGTCGATCGCGAGCTACTGGTAGCCCGCGGAGGCAATTCTGGTAGCTCTCACAACGATTTTAATTTAAAAAATACAAACTGCAAAAATCAGAGAAGCTTCCGAAAATTCCACAAAAAAATCTAATTAAACATAAACAGCGGCAACTTTACGATGAGCGATCTGCCGCTGACGCCATCAAGCTGGAATCGGCTAGAACCGACCAGCCGGACCAGCGCGTTAGTGTTCGAAAACGATCAGGATTGCTTTGAACGGGATAAATACGCATGGCGCGGCGACATTGCGCTTAGTTTAAAACTAAACGCGTAACCAACG